TTGTTATGAAATGTGCTGTTAAAAGACAGTTTTTTAAAAAGGTTAAATCATGTCTCTTCTACAGGTCTTAAAATATGCACATCAAAAATTTTCTTTAACTCGTTATTGTGAAAACCAGTAACGTGTCACAACTAGCTCAAAGTGGAATTTGGGGAACACGTGCACGTATGTACAGGCAGCTGGGAATTCTGAAATAAACTTGTGAACACACGCAAACCTGGCCACTACACGGGGCCGCGGCCAGCTGCGTGCTGCCGGGCAAACTCAAGTGCGTTTCTGTGGAAGAGACTTATTTGCATTATTATAAATTTTCTGCATCTTATTAGAGTTTTAAAAGTAGTTCCAAAATAAGGAAAGACTTAGCAATGCAGAGAAGTTTACCAGGTAAAATACCCAAGAATTTTCCTGCCCATTTCAAAGACCGTCACTATTTTTCCTGACACAGCCTTTGTGTCCCTATTTATTAACTAACTTACCTGTCCTACGAGACACTGGTGAGCTCATTTCTCTCACCAAACTGTGTTTTCATTTAATCTCTGTATTTCTCATGTTTCTCCTTTCTATATTTTTAGCCATGTTGTTTGCATATAGACTTTTGTTATCTTTTTATGGAGATGGTACATATTTAATATGCAAAATGTAGGAAATAAAGTATAGAGAAAATTTCAAATCACTTCTAATTCCCACTGTCCCTAACCACCGTTAACAGTTTATTACCTTCGTGCTTTTTTCCATGTGTATTTCCTTAATAGTTATCTGTGTATAACAATTTCCTGCTTTTTTACCTAATATCTTAACACTTTTCCCATGTTAAAACTGTTCAAAGGCATCATTTTAAATATTTTTATTTAAATTTATTTTTCCTTTATTGTGCATGTTAGATTATTTTTTTTTACTATTGTGAGTAATGCTGTACTTAATACCCTGGGGCACACATATTTGAACACGTTTTGCACTATTTCTTAGGGATAGATTATCAGAGTTGGGGAATTGCCGGGTTAAAGAATACAAGCAGTTTAAATAAGGCTCTTGATATTCGTAAAATTGCTTTATAAAGTGGCTGTATCCATGCAGGTCTCCATAGCTGTGTTGATGGCAGTGTCCCCTCCCAGTGTATGAAAATTTAATAATGTCGTGTCCTTGTTCTACATTATGTCTTTTGCCATTGTATTCTTACCTTTTTTGTTTATGTAGTACTTTCTCATTTAAATTCTACCTGGATAGTGATACTGTATCTGGTCCTGTTCATTTGATCAAAATTGGTTACAGTATCTTTGCCCAGGCTTTCCTTGGTCAATCCTCGGTGCTGTCCGGTCTAGGTGAGCTTCTGGCTGGATCTTGTTTAATCAACTCTGGGACTGTGTCTCCTGACATGGGAGAATTTAGGCTACCTTTTTAATTATGATTGTTCTGTCTGGTCTGACTGCTGTTACGGATGTTTTATTCCCGTTTTTTATGTTTGCTTCATCTCTTTTACATTTTACCTTGTGATGGGCTGCTCTGTTTATATCATTAATTGTGATTTAGAAGGTAAAAAAAAATCCTAGTTTTCATTTCACTAATGACTTAAAAAATACATCGTTTACATTCTGATTAATCTGATTTTTATACTTAGCTAATAAAAAACACTTTCTATTCCCATTGAAGATACAAGGAATTTTTAAGATTTTTGGCTATTTTTTCTGTACTTTATTGAGTTAAGCCAATAGAGTTAAAATCAAACTGTTAATGGTTAATGTTCTGATTTCCTGACATCTAGAACCTTCATGCTGAAGTTGAGTGATCACCGTTACTACTATGTATAACTTCCCTATTCGAGAATTCTTTCTCGAATTCAAGCCTAGATGATTTAGGAGAAATTCTTAAGCATTCTTTGTAGAAAAGGTACCCGTCTGGTAACATTTCAGAGATGTACAGATTTCTGAATATTTCCCTGTTCTGCAAATGAGTAGCTTGTCCGCTGGATGCACAATTTCTAGATGTGACCCTCCGTCTGGAATCTGGGCTGCGGCAGTGAGCACGGCGGAGGAGAAATCTGTATAAAGCTTCACTCTTACCCCTTTGAAGAGAACTTGTCGTCTTTGAAATTCAACTAACCAGTAACATTAATTGATCCAGACGTCCTCAGGCGCTGGTCTGGATGCTTTTAACACACTTCAGCTCGTTTTTCTGCTTGATCCGCTTCTAAAAGCCTTTTTCTTCGTGTTTAAATTTTTTATCGGGTTATGTCTTCTTGTTCACTTTTAGCCATTCGTTTGTCTGGAGTGCATCGATCACGGGATCATGTGTGGTCTCAGCTGTCTGCTCAGAAGGATAACGGGCTGTTGCCATCCATCAGGCTGCCAGAACCTGATACTCTTTCAGCCACAAATTCTTCCTCCCGCAGGGGCTGTCCAGCGGGCCCTGGTCTGGCTGCCAGAGGACATCCACCTCCCCGCCTGCTCTGCGGTCCCCTGCGCCCCGCCCGCACTGCCCCGGCTGTCTCTCAGCCATGTCTCCCGTTGTGCAATTATTGCTAATTAATTCCCAGTCAGAGTGATGGATGGTTTAATTTGCTTTCCTTGAGAGAGCCCTGTTTTCTCTTGCCTTGCCAGGGGCTGGGCAGAATTCCAAAGATGCCCAGGGCAAGTGGCTCAGGAAGGTGGGGTCTCGGCAGAGGCGGCCGGGAGAGCAGCCAGGGGTTTTGGGAGACCCAGAATCCCCCCAACACGGCGTCATTTCTGTCGTCTCATCCTTGAGTGACGTAGTGAAGCCAGAGCCTTCTCCCTTCCGCTGTGAGGCAGCCCAGAGACTCTCCAGTGGCTGCAGAAGCCCTGAGAAATGTCTTTGCTGAAGTCTCATGACAAAGGGGGACATTCTGTCCCACACCACAGAGCAAAACTCTTAGAAAACCCTCTTTTTTGTCTTTTCCTCAGAGTTCTCCTCCTTGTGGCATCCGCCAAGTCCCTCTGTTCCCCCGCCCCACTCCTCTCTCACCCCCGCTTCTTGATTTCTGAGTCCCAGGTACCTTCCGTGGGAGCCTCTGTCGGCCGTTTTTGATTCTGTTCTGTTGTTTCTCTGAGTGGCAGCAGGAAGACACAGGAGCCCAGAGAGTCCTCCCTGGAGGAGGAGGAAGGAGGCAGAGGCAGTGGTCCCCAATACCTTATCCCTGTCACAGCAACGAGAATGCCACCACCAATCATTGCCACCACCACCACCGTCCTTGTCACAGGAGCTACTATTTGAGCATTTGCTATGTGACAGGCACCGTGCCAAGCGTTCTATATAGGTTAATCTTCACTGCTGCCTTGTAAGATACTACAGTGACCCAGTTACGCTCAGAGCCACAGAGCTAGTAAGTGGCGAGGCCAGGGTTCAAACCTTGGTCTCTGAATCTGCTGCCTCCAACATGCAGGAAGTGGCGGGGTCCCCCTTCCCACAGCAAGCAAATTCGCCGACCCCAGTTGCTCCCCCAGCTCCTGTGCTAGACGCCACATCCAGCCTCCCTCCCATCCCCCTCCGTGTCCCTTCCCTGCCCTCCACAGGTGTACGAGGGCGGGAGCAACGTGGACCAGTTTGTGACCCGGTTCCTCCTGAAGGAGACGGCCACCCAAATCCAGTCGCTGCTGAGCTCCGTGGAGAGCGCGGTGGAGGCCATCGAGGAGCAGACCAGCCAGATCCGGTGCGTGGGCGAGACCCCGCGGGGCACGTGGGGGTGTGCGGGGCACGTGCACACACGGCCTGCTGCTTGGTGGGGGGTCCGTGTACCTAAGAGCTGGGGGACCTTCGGCAAGTTGGTCGCACCTCCCTCTCTGCCCCCGTTGCTCCAGCTGTAGTATGGGGACAACTATATACTGTCCCTCGGTCACTGCGGGGATCGGATGAGACAGCGTGTGCTCGGAAGACGCCTGGTGTACGTACACGCCGCACGTACGGTTAAGACGCTGCTTCCCGGACTCCAGTGCGCTTTGCCGCGTACCCATGTGCTCGTAGTCTATCGTTTGGTGCACTTTCTAAAGCTGGAGATAAATGTAGGGAACGGTATATGGCTGCAATAATTGGAAAATTATCACACGCCGTAAATGAAGGAAGCGTAAAGATAAGCACCCATTGCTGCCCACGGCCAGCTCGGCTCCTGCGCGTGGCTGCCTCCGTTGAAAGGAGAGGCTGAGGCGTTGGAGACGGGCAGTGCCGCGGTGAGACCTCCTCGGGAGGATTGAGAGAGACGTGACAGCGCAGCGATGTTCTCTCAACACTGTGTTACGTGAGGCCTTGTTTGTGTCCTCTGAGCCAGGGAAAAGCACCTGGGGTCCCCTCCTCTTGGGCGGCGGGTGCTGCGTTGAGGCCGCAACCTGGGATTTGGGGGGAGTAGTTCTCCACTTCCGCTCAGCACCACCAGCCCCTGGGGGCCACAACCCCTCCCGTTTGCTGTCCCAGGTTGAGACACCCTCTCTCTGCCCAGCTCTTCCCAGACAGCGGACGTGCCTGGCACAGAGAAGAAGCAGAGAGAACGTGCCCAGGTTCTGCTGAGCCTTGAACGCCCCAGGCCGAGGGACATCAGGGCCGGGACGTTGGGCTGCGGTGGGCTGGGGGTTTGAGCCTGTGTTTTTCGTTGGCGAGGAGCTGGTCCCCATCAGATGTGATGGTGAAGGTCGTTCCAGAACACTTTGTTCCCCAGGTGGGTTTGTTCTGAGCACCTGCAACCAAACACCTGGGAAATTTAAGATGCAGATTCCTGGGCCCCAGCTAGACCCACTGGTCAGACACCCCGGTAACAGAGCCCAGGACTCTGCATCTGTCATCGGTCCGTGACTCTGAGGGTCCCCAGCTGATGCTTAGACTCCTTTGTTTTTTGTTCCTGTCTTGGTCAAAACCTTGCCGTTTTTATCCTGCCGCGGAACGCATAGTGTCACTGCCCAAGTTCACAGCTCTCTCTCCGCGCCGTGCCGGCTCTGTCCACGTCAGGGGTCACACCTGCCTGCCCCCACGTGCGCCCTTACCTTGGGACGTTGGTGGAGGGGGTGGCACGTCGTTCTGGGGAGATACATCTGCTCCACACAAACCTCCCCAGATCTTAGCTATTTCGGCTCCCGGCCACGGGTCCCTGAGACCCATCCCGTCTCCTGGCCCCGGAGCAGCCTCCAGGGACGGTGTGTTCCAGGCACAAGCTGCCGGCTCCGACCCTGCCACCCGGCCCCCACGAGCAGCCCTTCATGGTCTGAGGGACACATTTAATTTGCTGCTGGTTTGTAGAGACGCTGCCACTGACACCTCAAAGACTCTGCCAGCCTTTCCCCTACCCTCGGGGGAGTTGGGTTCGCTCCCTCTGCGCAGGGGAGAGACTTGGAGTTGGGTTCGCTCCCTCTGCGCAGGGGAGAGACTTGCGGAGCTTCCAGGGCTCATAGGAGACAAATTCCAGAACACACTAAGGCAGCGATGCTCAAAGACAGAGGGCTGCAGGGGCCTGCGTGTGTGTGTGTCTGTGTGTGTCTGTTTCTGTGTGTGTCTGCAGGGAGTTTGCCAGCGTCTCTTTGCATGTGAGGGTTTGGTCATTCACTGAGCACGTGTTGAGTCCCTACTGTTTGCCAGGCGTAGCATTTGGCATGGCAGTGTGTGTGGCTGTCTGGCGAGCTGTGCCTGGCAGGGCGTGCAGGGGAAGGCCCAGGTCAGGACCACAGTTCTCTGTCTTGCTAATATTGCCCCGTGTGTGCATGTAGGGGGGTCCTGTAAACTCGGGTCCCCCACCCCAGAGGACACCAAACACCAGACTGGCTTCTCCTGAGGCAGGGAGGGAGGGAGAGTGGGTATCGCCACAGCCCGGGCAGGCGCCTGGGGCAGCAGTGAGCCAAGGGGGCGGGAACGGCGCCCGGCTCAGCCTTGCCAGCCCTAGAACTCAGTCTCGGGAGCAGGGTCTGGGCCGTGGGGTCCTAGGAGGAAGCTGAGTTCAAAGCCCAGCTCCTTGCAGGCCCAGTCCCCGCTTTATGGCCTTGTTTCCTCCTCTGTAAAGACAAAGGCTGTAGTGCCCACCTCTCAGGGGCGGGGTTCCACATTTGAGCCCACAATCGGTGCTTAATAAACGCCTGTCAAAGCTGCTGAAAGTGGTCAGGGCCCTGCAACTGCTGCCGTGTCTCTGTTTCCCCAACTCAAACGGCAGGCAGAACCACAGCAAACCCAGCCACGGCGCGGCGGAGACCTGGTATGGAAGCCCCGCTCCCCCCTACGCCGCCAACCACAAGCTCATGGCCACGGAACAGGGGAAGAGCCTTCCGTCTGGTGAGAGCGGTGGCCCGGGGTGGGGGTGACATTGGCAGGGGGTCGTGAGGAGTCCCCTGATGGGGACTGGGACTCGGAGGCAGGGGCACGTTTGGGGCCCCTGGTGGGGGTGGGGGTTGGGGGAGCCCCTCCTCCCCACGGGCCGGGCCCTGCCCACCTCATGGTCTGTTTCTGTTTCCCAGTCACCCAGGACTCACGGGAGGAGGGCCTGGAAGCCCAGATCAGCCGGCTGGCAGAGCTGATTGGCAGGCTGGAGAACAAGGTGAGCCCCGCCGCACCCCGCCTCGCTCCCTCCTCTCCTCCTGGCCCCCGGGAAGTGCAGGGTTAGGCCTGGAGCTCAGGACGGAAGTCAGGGCTGCAGAGGGGTCAGGGACCTGGCGTGGAGGAGGCAACACCGAGGTGGCGTGTGACGGTACAGAGCACAGGACTGCGGCAAACCCTGGGACTGACGGGGCTGTCGCAGGGCCAGGTGGGCAGGCAGGAGGGACAGCTCCAGGGGCAGAGAGCAGCCGGCAGGGCCCCGTGCTGCACAGGGCCAGCGGTCCCAAGGAGGCTTTGCCCTAAGGCGGGTGGCCTGAGCAGGTGGTCGCCAGGAGGCAGTTTCGGGATGCGTGAGGGACGTGGTGACGCAGGAGCACGTGGAAACGAGGGAATGACCAGCGGTAGGAAGTCTGTTAAATGCAGTGTGGCAGGTGTACTGATGACAGAAAATGACACAGCCCCAGCAGAATCACGTGGTCAGTGTTTCACGCCTTGGAAAGGTACTCAGTGTGACCACTTGGTGGAAGAGAGAAAAAAGTTTGCCTTAGGGCTTTCTCAGGCATCAGACTGTCACTATTGGAATTCGGGCTGTGTGGCCTTGGGACAGTGCCCTGCCTTCTCTGAGCCTCAGATTCCTCCTTTGCTGCTAGGACGAAATGAACAATGTCTTGATGGCTCAGCACAGAGCCCCGTGCAGCTAGCAGTTAATATCAGTAAGGTTAGCAATTATTATTAGACACGCTGCCACCGGAACCTACACCCAGGCCCATGCCACACCCATGTACCTACCCAAACCAAGGGCACAGGTATCACAGAGCCCTACGGTTGGGGTGGTTTTATGTCTTCTACTTTTCTGTATTTCTTTTATACCTTTTACAAATGGTGTTACTATTTTGCCAGGTTTGGGGGTTGGTTCTCAGGGATTCGAGGGGGCTCCCCCAACGGAGGAACAGCCCCTGTGCCCTGGAGCACAGTCCGCAGGAGGAGGCGGGCATTCCCCCCTGCAGGGGCGAGGCCGAGGTGGGGTCACCCCCCAACCTTGAAGCCAGCTGTGGGAGGGCTCTGTGGGGACCCTGTGGCCCGGTTGTCATAACAACTCAGTGGGCGCCTCCAGAGGGAAGCTCTTTGAAGCTTATTTTTAGCACCCGGGTCGCCCTAACAACCGGGCTGGCTGGTAACCACGGAGCACCTGGGCGTCCTGGAGATGGGGTGGGGCCCCCTTTGCCAGCCTCTGATTGGTCCAGGCTGTGAGCGGGGGCCAATCAGGGCCTGGCTCCGCCTGGGCTGGGAGGATGGAGGGGCTCGCAGGGAGGCTGGGGGAGGGATGGGGCAGATATGGATGCCACCCTTATCCTCTTACGGCTCTGCGGGCTGGGAGAAGCCAAAGGGAACCAGCCCCAGCCCAGCCCTCCAGGAGCCCAGGAACATGGTTGTAAAACCACGAAAACAGACTTGTCCTGGCCAGGCGCACCCTCACAACTTAGGGGCGTTCACACCTCGTGTCCTAGAGAAGTCAGAACCGTGACGAGGACCGGCCACCCCAGGGCCCCCAGTTTGAACATGAAGAATTTGAAGGTGGTGACTACACAGGTCACCTGCCCCTTGTTTTCCTTACCAGCTAGTCTCACACGTGCTCTCTTGTGATTGTGGCAGACACAGTCTGTCCTCGTGGAGGAGGGACAAGGATGGGCACAGAGGTGGTGATTACTGGGGTGCCTGGGGAAGGCCGGAGACAACAGATCACCCCAATCAGACCGTTAGGTTGAGGAGGGGCCAGGGCTTACAAGTTGTAAATTCATGGGGGAATTTCAGGGCTGTGGCAAAACCCAGCATCTTGGATTCAGGCCTCCTGTGTCCTGTTGCTGCCTCTCCCGAGACCTCCCCGTCCCAGGAGCACTCCTAGAGCCTCCTTTGTGCCCTCTGCAGTGGGTCAGCTTGGCCTCTGTGCTTCCCAGTGACCCCACATGCCAGGGCCCGAGGGATTCTCTGCCACTTCCTAGGGCTGGTCTCCCAGCCCTGCCTTCCCGGGTCCCCTCGGAGCCAGCACAGTGCATGGAGCCTGACCCAGGCCTGGCCCTGGGACCCCAGAGAACCCAGCACCTCGGGGCAGAGGGGCTGGAGCTGTGTGGTGGCCCCAAGTGCGACAGTGTCACCGTGGTGAGTCCTGGGGCCTCTGTAGCCTCACTTGTGCTCCTTGTTTCAGGCACTGTGGTTTGACCTGCAGCAGCGCCTCTCGGACGACGAGGGCACCAACATGGTGAGGCCCCGTCCCCTTCCCCGTCCCTGCCTGAGCCAGGACTTTCAAATCCGGTTCGGTCGATGTTCCTGACACTAGCCCCCCGGCCCAGGACCACCATGCAGGGAGACGCCACCCCAGCATCGGGCTCCCAGACCCTGCCCCAGCTCAGGGGCCATTCCCCCAAAAATGTTTGACCTGGAACAACGTGGTCGGCAGGACATGATGGCAAAATGCCGATTCCATCAGCGTCGCTGGTTTTGCCGTGTCTTGGGGACCCGGATGCCTCATTCAACAGCCTTGTCTGCTAGTCCCCATTGGTGGGGGCTGCTTGCTGCGTTGGGCTGTTTTTTCCTCCCCTTTTTTAGCCAGTTTTCATGTGTAAGAATGAAAAGGGGGGGTTGGCCCAAGTGCCCTGTCCCCTCCTGAGGGAGGTATCGGGGGGATAGGAGGGGCCTGGCCCTTGGGCTCACTCGCGCCCTGGCCCGGCAGCACCTGCAGCTGGTCCGGCAGGAGATGGCCGTGTGCCCCGAGCAGCTGAGCGAGTTCCTGGACTCCCTGCGCCAGTACCTGCGGGGCACGGCCGGAGCGAGGAACTGCTTCCAGTGAGTAGCCCGGGGTGGCGCGGCAGGGCCAGGAGCTCTGCCTGGTGGTGGACGGCTGGGCGGGACCAGCCTCCCCCTGAAAACAAGCTGCTCCCCAGGGAGGCACGGAGCCGGCTGGGCAAGAGCTGGGGCTCGGCTGGTGCCAGGATCGGGGGTGGTGGGCAGGGCCCACTTCCACCCGGTACAAGAGGCTGTGGGATGTGGGACGTGCCTCCCAGGGTAAGGCCCCAGCCAGGCCTGGGACGCGTACTGTTTTCAGGATTAAGCGAGATGATCACAAAGAGCTTGGCGGGAAAAGATGCTGCCTTGGTTTGTAAAGGGAGTATTTGTTAAAATGAACATGAAACATTTTAATGTTGGTACATTACGATTTCCTTCAGCAGGCAGTTACTGGCCGCTCCACGGGGCCAGGCCTTTTGCTGCAGGTGGCCGGGCTGGCCCTGGCTCCGCGTGGTTCTGATCAGAAACGCAGAGGCCTCCACGGGGCCGGAGGCAGCCCCAGCTTCTGCCTGGGTCAGGCTTCCGGCGTCCGAGGTTATCTCAGAGCCTGGCTGTGGGGTGGGGATGAGACAGGTTGAAGGCGGCTTTGTGTACCTCTGCGGTCCAGACACCCCCTTGAGGGGACAGGGGTGGTCCCGCGTCAGTCCACAGCCTCTCTCTCCTCAGCATTGCCGCCGTGAGGCTGTCGGACGGCTGCACCTTCGTCATCTACGAGTTCTGGGAGACAGAGGAGGAGTGGAAGAGGTGAGCGGGGAGGTGGCCCCTTCCCTTGACGCCAAGTATTCCTGGGGGGTGGGGGGGCTGGGTAAGGAGCCCACCAGGAAGGCTCCGCACATGTGCGCAGTGCGGGTGGAGGCGGGGTCTCAGGGTAGTGAGACCCCCCCCCCAACCCCACCCACATTCAGCTGGGCTCCTCATGCAGGTTCCTGGGCAAGGCCGCCAAGTGTCAGGATTTGACACCAAGGTTGGACTCTTATATGTGAAAACTGCTCTTCTAAGGCTCAAAGTCCCCTCTCCAAACCCCCAGCCTCACCCATTCCAGCTTCGAGGTCTGCCTCAAGTGCCCTCCTACAGGAAGCCCTCCTGATCTCCCCAGAGTTCCTCTTCTGTGCTTTAAGCACCGTGTCCTCCTTGGCCTACCAGGGAGGTCCCAGGCAACTCTGCACACGCATGATCAGTGGCTCATCTGTTTGCCAGGGGCGTGGTGGGGAGGTCAGCAGATCAACTCTGGTGGCCACCACGGGGCTCAAGCCAAGGCCATCCCACACCGGCCCTGAGCGTTCATTTGCCAGACCCTACCCCGGCCCTCCAGACCTCCCAGGCTTGCAGGAACGTCAGCCCTGTCCCCACCCCCTGCTGCACACTCACAGTTTGCTGCCAGGCCGGGGCTGCCTGAGGAGTGGGTGGCCCCAGGGAAGGACTTGAGGTCTCTTCTCTGTCCATGCTTCGGTATCATCACTCCAAGACAGATGCCAGCTTCACCCCCACGTACTGAGGACTGTCCTTGCTCCCAGGGTGTGCCAAGCACGGGCCCCAGTTCAGGGTCCTTCCTGGGCCGACGCTCCCTGCGAGGAAGGGAACAGGCTGTTCTCCCTCAGGGCTGCAGCCTCCCTGGGCCCAGCCTTCTCTCCCCACCCAGGCAGAGCTAGGATTAGACCTGGAGCCACCGAGAGCTCCTCCCCTGGCACCCCCAGCCCGCCCCCGCGACTCACCCGCGTTCCTGGGGTTGCAGGCACCTGCAGAGCCCCGTGTGCAAAGCGTTCCGGCACGTCAAGGTGGACACGCTGAGCCAGCCCGAGGCCCTCTCCAGGATCTCGGTGCCAGGTAGGAGCGAGGGCCCGGGACTGCAGATCTCTGGTTCTGACAGGCGCCAGGGGAGCATGCTGGGCAGTGCCAGCACCGAGTCTCCCTCGACCCTTCTGCTTGAGTAGCTGGCAGGGGTCAGCGCAGACGTGAGCGCCTGCCGTCAATGCCACGTGGGCAGGAAGAGCTGCAAGGCTGGGGCCAGAGCCGTAAGGTGGCCCTTCAGCCCCAGAACAACGGACCAGGGAGAAAGCGAGGTGCCTCCAGTCCACCCCTCGTGTGGGTCCCCCAGCCACCTTCCCCACCAGACTGACTTTACCTTCACAGCAGCCACCTTTGTGTCACACGGGGGCCCAAAGCCACTCCCTGGGGCAGCCCTTGCACTGCCCAGAACAGGCCCCCCGCGACTGAGGGTGTGTGCTCGTGGGGAGCAGCAGCGGGTAAGGGAGGGGTCCTGCCCTCTAACACCTTTCCCCTCTCCCCCCTAGCCGTGTGGTGCACAGTGGGCCGAGACTGACCACCTCCCCGAGGCCTGCGTCCGCCCCCTCCTTGTAAAGGACGTCCCCTTTTCTAGAAACTTTGGTACACGAGCTGTCTTCTCAACACGAATGTATTTCCCTGCTGTTTGAAGTGAAGGAGGAACCCCTCTGCCCCCAGCGAGTGGCCACGCACACCCAGCCACCTCCCTCGTATTCTGACGGCTGAGGCCACCTCTGTCCTCCCCTCGTTGACATTTCTCTACCTGGTAGGAGCCGTGACCCCCCGTAGCACCCAACCTAGGCCAGTCCCGCAGGTGCGGCAGTAGAGCCCCCGTGACCAGTGCCGCCGTAGGCAGCCGGCCTCTGCTGGGCACAGGTGCCAAATAAACTCTGGTTGGGAACATCTGTGTGCTGTTGCTTTCCCGTTTTCTAGCAGATCCCGGCTGGCGGTGTCCGGGGACCCTGGGCAGCATCTGTCCGGACGGCCCCCTCACGTGCTGTGAAACCGAGTCCCCCAAGTCTCAGTTGGAGGAGGGTGACCGCGCAGTGGGGTGGGTGTTCCAACATGCAGGCTGCTGCCTGCTGCAAAGGTCAGGGGTCTCCAAGACCACCCCCGGGTTCAGTAACTCCCTAGAAGGACCCAGCAAAACCATAGTAGTCACAGGTACAGTTCGTGACAGCCAATGAACACGGGCTGCAATCACTAAGGCGCGACCAGGTACAGAGCTGCCAGCAACATCATGCTGACAGCAATGACGTGTGACAACACACGGGAGTAGTGCCAGCCAGGGAAGCTCCCCGAGCCGCTGGGTCCGGAGTCTGGTGGAGCTCAGTCACACGGCCGTGGCTGCCACCCACGCAGCTGCCTGAGCCTGGGCCCCTCCAGACACCCCGCTCCACGACCCACCGTAAGTCACATGACTAGCACAACCGCACAGTGGCGTACAGGCAAACAGAGGCACTCTTAGCAGGCAGGACATTCCAAGGGCCTCAAGGGGACCTCCCAGGGCAAAGGCCAGACCTGTCCGTGGGCACGGTTCACCCTTCGCTGCACACCTGTAAATCGGCTATTCCAACAAGACAGGAGACACGCCGAGACTCTGAACTTGAAATAATGGGGTAGGTGCTGTTCTGGAAGCTCTAACTTCTGTTTCTCTGACACACACACAAGTTCAAAGGAGAGGGTGGTGGGTCCTTCTAAGCCAGGATAGGCACGGCGTGGGGTGGCGGGGAGGCACTGGGCCAGCCCCCAGACGGGGGCTAGGACGGGGGCATGGTGGGAGCCCGGACCCAGAACGAGCATCTGCCCACCTTTTGCACCAAACCTGGAGCTGCCAGCCAGTGAAACGCAGTCACCGTCATCGCCACTCGCAAGGTCCTTGCCCACAGTGTCCGGCTGCCCTGCAGCCCCTGCTCCCAGGGCAGGTCCACCCTCCCCCTGTGGGTCCTGCCACTTCCCGTGGGGTTTGACGCCAGCCACTAGTGTTCATGCCAGACCAGCAGAACATGACACGAGCTCGCAGCAAGAGTGGGACGGGGACACACGTCCCATCTCTGTGTCTCCAAGCTGAGCATCCTGGCGCCAGCCTCTCAGAGCCTCTGTTTTCTCTGTAAAGCGGGGAGAAGACCCCTATTTTGAAGGATCGGGGGCTTCGTACCGGCTCCTGCTGGCATAGTCAGCAACCGTGAGAGCTGCCCCGCCCTGCCTGAGGCTGGTGCTTTTCCAATCAGCTCAGCACTTTTTTTTTTTTTTTTTTTGAGACAGTCTCCTTTGTCACCCTGGGTAGAATGCAGTGGTGTCATCATAGCTCACCGCAACCTCCAACTCCTCGGCTCAAGCGATCCTCCCGCTGCAGGCTCCCAGCATGTTAGGATTACAGGCATCAGCCACGGCGCCTGGCCCTGCTCAGCTATTTTAAGAACAATATTCAGTGGGCTGAGGCTCTTTGGGGTACAACCAAGGAACCCCTGTTTAGCTAAGCATGCCATGCTGCTTCCACACATCACGCCTGCTTGTCCAAGTTCTCCCTACTCTGTGGCATCTCTGCTGATCGCAGCCCACGAGCACCTGGAGCCTTTGGAGCTTCCGCGGCGTGGGTGGGAATGGGTTCAGAGAACAAATTTCAGTCCTCAAAGGGGTAAGAGCTTCCACTTAATACTTCTACTCCAGAGCAAAACGCTTGGCAGGCACCACCTCCCTCAATGCTCGCTGTGCCGTCCTGTGCTCAGCAAGTGGGGAAATGGAGACACAGAGAGGGTAAGTAACTCACCAAAGGTCACACAGCAAGTAAGTAGTTCCGGTTAGGTTCAAACCCAGAGCTACGTGCCCCAGTCCTGTGCCCAACCACCACGCCGCACGGCATCAGCTTGTGGGGAGGAATCGGTCAGCTTCCTCAAAAAGCCAAAGACAGGACTACCATGTGACCCAGCAGTTCCATTCTGGGTAGATACTGGGCCCAAAAGAACCGAAAATGGCATTCCAACAAGTAGCTCTGCACAGATACTCATAACAGCACTATTCACAGTGGCCAAAAGGTGGGAACAACCCAGATACCCATCGGCCAATGCACAGGTAAACAAAACGTGGCCCACGTGGCCCGTGCATACCACGGAACACCATTCAGTGACAAGACAGAATGGAACGCTGACACGCGACAACACGATGAGCCCTGGAAACGTGACGTTAGCGAAAGCAGCCAGATCCCGAGGGACCGCGCGTTACGAGATTCATATACACGAAATGCCCAGAGTGAGCCAATTCACAGACATAGATTAGCGGTCTCCGGGGCGGGGACGGGGTTTCCTCTGGGGTGACGGGAAGGTCTGGAACTGGGTAGAGGTGATGGCACGACACCGTGAATACACTAAGTGCCACTGAATTGCATACCTTAAAATGGTTACTTTTAAGTTCTATGAATTTCACCTCAATTTTTAAGAATTCCAACCAACTCACCTTTGGAAACCGCTCACCACCTGCGTTCACAGTTGGTAGATCCACGTCCCGGCCGGGCCCCGTGCAAACCCAAACCGCCCTCGGGGGTGTGCGGAGGCTACCCCGTGCTGGGGGTGGGCAGCACCCCCGAGGCGCTCAGGGCCAGCAGCACCCCGCTGGGACCCGAGCCGAGGGAGAGGGGCCTCCCCAGGGCACTCAGAGCCCCTGCAGCCTGCATGCTCAGAGCAGGGACGAGAGTCATTTGCACTACAAAGTGTCACTTGGCCATGTTTAAGCAGGTACTTGAGACATACAGGTCCCTACACTCATGCACAGTTGTCACCCTTGACCGGGAGCTCATGACGGGCCAGGCTGTGTGCCAGGGGCTTTGCAAGTGAGCCGCGGCTCACCTTCACGGCTCTCTGCAAAGGGAGGGGCTGTCTGTAGCTTCGTCTCAGAGGAGGACCGAGACCCAGGGCCAGAGGAAGGATGCTGAGACAGAACAGCCCTGCGGGAGGTGTTCCTGTGTTAGCCCCCCAGGGACGAGGACTGTTCAGAGAGGGACTAGGCCACACAGCTGGTAAGTGGCAGGCAGAGAGCAGACCCAGAGTCCACACTGGAGGCCTACACGACACCACCTTGCCCTTGAGGACACCAGCCCGTCACCAGCTGCTGTCAACCCTGGAGGGAGCCGCTGGGTATCCGAGTGGGACCACACACAAGACAGTTCACACCTTCCTCCATCAGGTCAGACGTCAGAGGGTGGCATCCCAGCCTCTGTTTCTCTCTCTGAGACTACATCCTTGCATTATGATGGTTAGTTTGCAGCCAGTCATGTAAAGATCACGTCTGTACCTGTCACACAATCAAGATGGAAACCTCTGTCCCCATCCCCACCCTTGCCTCCTCTTTGCATTTGGTGCTGGTCCTCTTCGCTCCTGGCTGGCTTTCCTGTTTTAGGTGAGCCCTCGTATCCTCATATTTCCCCTTTTCCCTTGGCTGCCAGGAAGCTCAGGTACACTTACCAATCTCAACTTAGGTTTTCTGGAAATAAAGCAACCATTGCTTGGGTCCCCCGCTGTGTGAGAGGCACCCCACCAACTGCTGTAGATACATCATCACCTTTAATCTTCACAGTAAGTCTACCTCACATACAACAAGCCTGATCTATTTTGATGATAGGGAAACAGATTCTTAGGAAAGGTTCATCAATCGCCCGAGATAGCAAATAGCAAAGCCAGTGTTCAAAACCAACAGTTCAACTCCAAAGCCGGTTCGCACACAGCCTCCTCCTCACGACCCCAACCCACCACGCTTTGATATTCTAGATCTCTCCATAAACGGCCCTATCACAGCCCCGGCCTTCCTGGCCAGGCCCTCAAAGCCATTTAGGAAGCAGACAGGTGTAAATAATAAACGAGTGGCTATGCAGCCTCACTGCCCCTCCGGGTGGCACACATCCACTAAAGCGACCTGGCCGGCACGAGTCCTGGTTCCCGGGGCCTTGCCTGAGAGGACACGGTGGCCCCTGAAGGTCGGGTGTGGCAGGCCGTGGTGCAGCTGGTCAGAGGGGACTCGGAGAAGGGTCCTGGGTCCCCTCACAGAGTCAGACTCTGCACCTGCAGCCGCACTGTGCCCTCCCAGTGGCCAGGGTGCAGGCTGGCAGAGGGCCCCATGGTGCCCCAGTGCCCCGGCCCCTCCCAGCGTGGTGCAGAGTGGAAAGGAGCGGACGGTGGAACTTAACCCCAAATCGGTTCCAATCCCAGCTCTGTGCCTCGCAGGACAGGTGGCCTTGACTTTTCCAAGCGTCAGTTGCTTCACGTGTAAAATGGACACGTCTAAAACATCACACCAAGTCACAGAGCCAGACACAAAGTCCCATTCACAGCGAACGCCCAGAGCGGGCGAACCCACGGAGAGAGGACTCTGGCGCCCAGGCCAGAGGGAGCACTGGGGAGGGACCGCTAACGGATACCGGGTTAGAGGGTGAGGAGAACGTACTGGAATTAGTGGTGGCGGCTGCACTCTGTGAACATACTCAAAACCACCGACTCGCATACTTTAAAGGGGTGAATTTGCATATCTCCATTTTTTAAACTCATACATCTGGACAGGCTGAAAAAACCACCACGAAAAATAGGTCTGTCACCACCACCCTGCTGCCTGCCCCCAGGAAGGTGTCCTCGAATGTCATCCCTCCCTGTCCTGGCCTGGCACAGCTGGCTTCTAGGAGGACGGCCCAGGAAAGAAGACATTGAATTCAGCCACATCCACCACATTCCCTGGGCCCCATGCAGGGTGAACGGCAGCTCGGCTGGGTCCCTGTGTTCCTCCCCTCCCCTCCCCTCGCCCTGGGGCGGACCCTTCGTCCCCTCTCACCCTCCTTGCCCCACGCTTGTGTGGGCTCAGGTGGGAACCACAGGGCCACTTGGCTCCCAGGCTCTTTGGGTCCATCTAGTGGCAGAGTAAGGGGACTCTCCTTGGAGTTGCCCGCCCCCAGCCCACTGGAGCAAGGACTAAGCACATGGCTGTGTGACCTGCCCTGGGCACACACCTCTGTGGGCATCTTGGGGTGAGGGCGGCATTTGGGCATTTCTTGTGCCCCGGCCGTCCCCGACAGACGCCTCCTTAAGTCTCCTTCTGGCCTCATCCACTGTGCACGGCCCTCGCCTGCTATCTGCGACCCTGACACCCCCAAAGAGTTCTCTGGATCTCTGTCCCTGCCTTCCTTTTTCAGGGTGAATTGTAGCCCCTAGAAAGATGCGAAGTTGAACCCCAAAACCTGAGCATGTGACCTTGTTTGGAATTCCATCTTTATAGGTCCTGATGAAGTACTTAAAATGAGAGGCAGTCAGGTTAGGATGAGATCGTACTGAATCGGGGGTATAATTTCACAGCCGGCATCCCTATAAGGAGGAAATTTGGACACAGACACACACGGGCAGACGTCACATGAAGACAGAAGCAGAGCTGTGAGTGACGCAGCCACGAGCCGAGGGCACCAAGGCTATCTGGCAGCTATCTGGCAGCCACCGGGGCCGGGAAAGGCAAGAAGGGATCCCCCTTCCCTGCAGCTCTCAGAGGGGCCACAGCCTGTCAACACCTTGATCGCTGCAGACTTCCAGCCTCCGGAACTGTGAGGCGACACGTTTCTATTGTGTGAAGCCACCCATTTGGGGTAACTTGTTACAGCGGCTGCAGGACCTAATACCGTCCTTCCTCACGTTGGCACCACAAACCCTTTGAGCTGAGCCCGAGTGAACAGCCCGAGAAGGCAGAAGCCATCTGTTTCTCCAGCATCTTCACGATGAGAAGAAATTGCCCTGGTCTCACGGCTGGACGCAGCAGCCGCCTGGGGTCCACCTGAGGAGGGCCCCTCCTGCCCGGCGAGGACACCCATCAGAGCAGCTCCAAGAGCGCGGCCACCGTGCTCTGCCCGAAGATGAAGGTGCCGACCAGCACGGAGAGCACGCCCCAGGCCTCCAGGCAGCACCTGCGAAGCCAACGAACCCACATCAGCCGGCTTCTCTGCGTCTCGTGCAAACGCAAGCACACGCCCAAATCTCATCACTGGAAGCCCGGTAGGTCACTGGTTTGGAAAACAGTCAGAATTTCTTGTACCATAGGGATGAGCTTCTGAGACCTTGGGAAACAAAGTAGCCAGGTGGTTTTAAAAATCCTTCTCACCCCACCTGTTATTTCACAATGTGGTTCTTACCCAATATTTTGTCAAAAAGAAAGAAGTCCCTGCCTCCTTGCTCCTCAGTGTCTGGTGGCCGGGGCTGGCAGCCACCGGGGCCACATTTGTGAGCTTCCTGATGTAACCAGAGACGGCGCAGACGAGGCGACAGCAGTAACAAGACTCCCACGAACGGCAGGGCCGTCCGCCTAGGCCAGGGGGTCGGTCTCCAGGGAAGGAGCGTTTCTAGCAGAGCAGCATCTCGGCCTCAGAGCCACAAACATCCGTTCATCTCAGGGGACACGAGGCCAGCGCTCCCCAGCAGCCTTAATGGACCAAGAGGACTAACGCCATTTTAGAAAGGAAAACATCTGGGAAGCGCATCTGTGAAAGCTGCCGTGAGCTTGGATTCAAGGGACAAAAGCAGGAAAACTCCGCAGAGGGCTCCAGGGCGAGAGCCGCCTGGGGGCTGCCAGACGTTTGGGGGGCTGGTTCTAACATGGGGGACCCAAGTTAGGCTTAGAGACTTCCAGAAAAACTGCTTTTCCTCCAGCAGGGGACCAAGCCCGGCCTGCACCTGTGGACTAGGCAATCCCGGACCCCACGGGGCTGAGGGACGGGGTGTGCGCCACACAAGCCCACAGCCGGGACCGAGTCCACACTGCTGTGACCTACGCCACCCGTCGTGGGCTGAATGGCGGCCCCCAAAATCCATGCCCACCTGGAACCGTGAGCTTATTTGGAAACTGGAGCTCTGCAGATGTGGTTAAGTGAAAGGTCTTTAGATGCAATGGTCATCCTGGGTTTGGGGGCCCTACAGCCAGGGACCGGCAGAGAGAGATCTGAGACGCAGAGACGCGGGCGAAGGCGGGGGAAGGCGAAGGCGGGGGAAGGCGCAGGCGGAGACTGCAGTGACGTGGCCACAGCCAGGGAGCGCCTGCAGCCCCTGGAAGCTGGAAAGGCCTTCAGAGAGCCTGGCCCTGCTGACGTCTTAACTGCAGACTTCTGGCCTCAGAACGGTGAGAAAATACATTTTAGCTGCTTTAACCCCGCCCCCACCCCCTAGAGTTAGTGGTCACTTGTCACAGCAGCCCTAGAAAACTGATACAGCATCTCTTTACCTCCCCGGCCTCAGTTCTCACATCGGTGGCACGGGGATAAGAGTCACATGGACTCTTGGGCGCCCCAGGGACTTGCCGAGGTATGGCACGTCATTGGTGCAGGCATTCTCCTTTTCGGTGGGGTCAGACAGAGCGGCTCAGTGACAAAGGATGAGGTCTCAGTCATGCCTGTCTCACAGGCCGGCCCAGAGGAGGCGGCACTCTGATAAACGTTAGCCAAATAAGAGGATGATCCAAATTCTCCCATCCCACCAGCGGCGTGTGCCGGGGAGCTGGGCGAGCCTGGGGCCTCGGGTCCTGTGGGTCGGGGTGGAGTCCAGCTCCGTCCTCACTGGCCTCCCGCCCCGCCCCCTCGTCCATAGGAAAAAGACATCCCGATACGGCGGGAGGTGAGTGCGTGGAGGGGCCTAGCGTGGGGCCTGGCGCAGAGGAGCCACCCAACAAGGACCTGCTGCTGTGACGACGGGACGCACGCAGCCCTGGCACCCGGCCTGCCACGGGGCCTCCGTTACTCAGGACCAGCCTGCACCCCGACCCTGCGTGGGTCCCAGCGGGTAGCAAGGAGGGCTGCGGATGCACCACTGGGGCCTCCAGAGGCTGAGAAGACCCCAAACCCACAGGAAGTTCCAACCACAGACCCTCACGGCGGAAGGGAAGGCCCTCGCAGGACCAGGGTCACCGGCCTGGGCTCCTGCCCTGGCTCAGACGCCCTCGCACCGTGGGACGAGGCCCCTGCCCGGGGCCTGCGGGTTTCTCCTCTGCAGGAGGAGGAGGACGGGCAACAGGATGTCCTCCACGGTCCCCTGGAGCACTCTCGCACCCAGGTTGCCACCCTCGTCTTGGGGACACTTACTTGGCTCTCGGTCCTACGGGCTCGATGCCCATTGCGCAGATGAGGCACAAACCTGCAAAGGAGACACAGGGTCACCCCCAGCTCTTCCTCATCAAACCCAAAGCAACAAGAGCCCCTCAAGAGCTGTCCCCAGGGACCGGGAGGCCAGCAAGGTAGCCCCACTGCCCAAAGGTAGCCCCGCTGGCTCCGTCCCCCAGAGAGGCAGCACAGGGCGCTGGGTGAGACTTTGGAGTTGGAAGGACAGGGGCTGGAGTCCCAGCTCAACAGCCGCTACGACCTGGCCAGAGGCGTGGCGACAACGTGGCCTCCCTGAGCCTCAGCCTCCGGGCGACCAGGGACTGCGAGGAGATGGTGAGAATCGGAGCCCGACACCGGGAAACGCTCCGTGACTAGCAGCTGGCACTGTTCTAGTTTCCTCTCTTTTCCCCTTTTTAAAAATAGTCCAGAGGGGGTTCAAGGCCAGGCAGCCCTGCCTCAAGCTCCCACAGAATCCGCTCCCGCCCCACACCCGTCCCGGCAGCACTTTCCAGCGCGGGACACAGCCGGAGTTGAAAGGCGCCACTGGAATGCGGCCCTGGACTTCACCCAGCAGCCCACACCAGGGAGCCAGGGCAGGAGCCGTGTGCCGCGCCCCTCACCACGGAAGCCCCCCGGAGCCAGGGCAGAGTGGGGGGCCGCCCGGCCCCTCCCTGCCCCAGCCCCAATCCCAGCGGAGCCCCATCCTATGCTCAAGGGTCAGACTCTCAAGTTCCCACATCAAGGACAGCCCTGATCCTTAACTCGCCCACCCAGAACCCGCCGATCACATCCCACTCGAGTCAGTCTCTGGTAACTGAGCTGTCTCTGTGGTCCTCCATTCCTCCATCGTGTGCGTGGCTGCTGATGAAGCTGTCACCGCCCTGAGTGAGGCTTCATCGCCCCACGTGAGTTCAGGGGAAGCCTTCCAGACCCTCCACACGTCCTCTCTCTACGTTTCACCACCAGGCACCCACTTCTTACCTGTTTGCCACGGGACTGGGTTGGGGTGTCGGGGGCACCTGGCTAAGAGTCCCTAAGTTCAAGGTCTGTTGGACGTGGTTCCACTCACAGCGGAATTGCGGGTCCGCTCAGAGCACACACTGACAGAACCCACCGTGTGCTGAGAACCTGCCACTGCCAAGCACCCCCCGTGCGTGGAGCTCGGAACGCCCCACCCCTGAGGGCCTGGGCACCAGCGGGTCCCTGCAGTGCTCCTCCTGCCTCTGCCGCACACCCAGCCTCGGCCGCGCTGGCCTCCCATCTGGGCTAAGGCCCGGCTGTTTCTGTTGGAACTTCCCGCCGCGGCTCACTAACAGCGGGAAGGCGCCGGGTGGCACCGGCCGCGGCAGAAGGGGTGTTTGGCTCCAGCTCCCAGACACAGGATGGGAGGGGACTTCCCAGTGTGCCTTTCGCATCTTGGGCCGTGTGACTTTCACATACTTAATTTTTTCTTAATAAAACAATATCCTGCAGCAGAAGGCAGAGCTGTAGGGGGGATGAAGTGTGGTGTTGACCCCCAGCCCCACTACACACTAACTGTGCCCCCCAGGGGTCTCTGGGCCTCAGTCTGCTCATCTGCGCAATGGGATGACAAAGGTACAACTGGCAGGTGTCCTAATCCTACCCACGTGGGGCTCCCACCTTCCACCTTCCAGAACCTCGACCTCCAGCGCAGGCGTCCCCACACGCGTGAGAGAGGAAGGCCGAGTGGGCAGGAAGCCTGGAAAGCAGGCGACTCACCTGGGAAGATGAAGATGAAGAAGGAGCTGAGGCCGCCGGTGATGCTGACGATCTCGCTGAGGTCGGGCACAAACAGGGCCGTGGCGAGCGTCACAGTGACCCACAGGACGGTCAGCGGCATCCGGACCCATGGCCCTGAGGGGTCGGCCAGCTCCCTGGGCCCCCAGGCCCCCCGGCAGCTCCTCCTCCAAAAGTCCTGCATCACCGACCTGGAGGCCACGCCCACCACACGCACCTGTCCCCAGCGGCTCCAGCCTGCACCTGCGGCACTGGGCGCCCCCTCATCCTCCCCAAGTCCCCACACCCCCGCAGGGCTCCTGTTCCACACCCAGGTGCCCGCTCCCCAGGGGACCTTGTCACCTCTGGGGTTCTGCTACCAGCAGGCAGCCGACGGGGCGGGGTCGGCACAGGCTCGAGTAACACTCTGAGTGACTTTGGGGAAACTACCTAAACCTCTGTGCCCGTTCCCCTCTATACAACGGAGATGACACAGAGTCCCGTGACACACACCAGCGCACGCCCGGCACACGCTAACTCACAACACCCGTCTGTGAGCTGGGCCTCACCTCCCCAGGAAGAGCACGATGGGGTAGACAGTAACGACGGAGACAGCAAAGAGGACCCGGGCGACAACAATGACCACGTCGTCACCAGGGTAGGACATCAAGACGTCAGCAGAAACTTCTGTCCCGAAGGTCAGGAAGCCGTAAGCCCCTGGAGGTGGGAGGCGGAAGCCGGGAAGCGAGGATTAGAAAAATGCCACCCCACTCCCAAAACACAGGTACAGGCTCCACCACCCCACACACAAGGTTATCCTGGGAAGCTGACAGAAGGTTCTGGAAGGGTTAGCCCAAGACTTTCCTGTCCTAAGCCTACACGTGACTCTGTCCCATCAACCCAAAACTCCTGCAGACAAATCTGCCACTTACACGTCTTTCAAGCCGCACAGAGCGTGTGCTGATCGGAAGCATAAAGCCCTTTGAGAGACGCAAACTCACCTCCCGCGCCCCGTCCACCTCGCTCCTATGAAAGCTAACACAAGCATCTGGCCAGGCAGCCCCGTTTTCCAGGTGGGGAAAACCAAGTCCCAGGGTGTCAAAAATGGCCCAGAATCACACAGCTACTTATGGCAGAACCAGGACCAGAGTGCCAGTCCCCTCACCCTGACACGATGCTGTCTCTGTCGCCCTGTGTCACCTGCCTTGTCCTGAGACATCCACCTCTAGCCCTGTAGGCTTCTCTGCGAGCCGTTCTAAGAGGTCCCAGGAGCCTGCTGGCCCTGGTACTGGGGCCATCTGGAGGTGACATGCCATCGCTGAGTTTATGAACTGCTGCCCAGATAAACTCCGACCCCAGGGCTACAGACTGGCAGGACTCTCCTGCTGGGGCAGGTCACACAGCAAGCGTCTTGCGTTCACAGTGTCTTAGTACATTTTCCGTTGCTCATAACAGAATACTTGAAACTGGGTAATTCATAAAGAGAAGGAATTTATTTTTTTTACAGTTCTGGAGGCTGAGAAGTCCAGGGTCCAGGGGCCACACCTGGTGAGAGCCTTCTTGCGGGGGGGACTCTCTGTAGAGCCCCGAGGCAGTGCAGGGTGTCACATGGCAATGGCACCGAGCATGTTCAGGTCTCTCTTCCTCGCTTTATAAAGCCACCAGCCCCACGCCCGTGATAACCCATTAACCCATTAATCCATGAATGGATTAATCCATTTATGAGGGCAGAGGCCCCATGACCCAATTCCTTCTTGAAGGCCCCGCATCTCAATACTGCCACATCGGGTATTCAGTTTCAACATGAGTTTTTTTTTTTTTTTTTTTTTTTGAGACAGAGTCTCACTCTTTTGCCTGGGCTAGAGTGAGTGCCGTGGCGTCATCCTAGCTCACAGCAACCTCAAACTCCTGGGCTCAAGCGATCCTCCTGCCTCAGCCTCCCGGGTAGCTGGGACTACAGGCATGCGCCACCATGCCCGGCTAATTTTTTCTGTATATTTTTAGTTGTCCAATTAATTTCCTTCTATTTTTAGTAGAGACGGGGTCTCACTCTTGCTCAGGCTGGTCTCGAACTCCTGAGCTCAAACAATCCGCCCGCCTCGGCCTCCCAGATAGCTAGGATTACAGGCGTGAGCCACCGCGCCCGGCCTTCAACATGAGTTTTGAAGGGGACAAACATTCAAACCACAGCACACAGGAGTCTGAGGCTGCCCGACAGATTCGCCGCAGACCAGGGGCTTCCTAAATCAGAGCCCCGATGGTGGGTAAAAAGGACTAGAGCAGAGTGGCCACCCAGAAGCCATCTGTGCCAGAGACCTGGGTCTGTGCCTTGGATGTGCTGTATGACCATGGGCATGTCACAGCCCCTCTCTGAGCCACACATTCATCACCTGTGAAGACCCTCTGCTTACCACACAAAGTCGTGAGCCCCTAAATCACGTCCACGAGCGTTTTATAAACCACTGCCCAGATACGAAGCTACATGACCATCACTGCTGCCGGCTGAACAGTGGGTAGAGGGTGGCACAGTGTATAAGAGCAGGGGCTTCAGAGACAGCCAGGCCAGAGTTCAGGCCTCAGCTTTGCATGTCTAGTTAAGACCTTGGACAAGCCCCGGAAGCCCTCTGAGCCTCAGTTTCCTTGTCTATGAAATGGGGCCTGTCCCATGGGGTGCTAAGGATTATGTGAGTAAAGACACTCAAATCACTCGGCATCGTGCCCAGCACGTGGTGAGCTCTCTAGGAACACCCGTGGTTATTCCTGTTCCTACAGCCGCTCCCTACCCACCCGCACGCACCCCAGGAAGGCCTTACCCGTGAGCGAGTAGACGAGGCAGCAGGCCAGCAGGGACAGCGCGGAGACCAGCGCCCAGCGGGAGAGGCTGCGGGGGCGTGTGCTGCAGTAGACAGAGACAGCGGCCTCGTGGCACTGCAAGACAGCGGGGCTGGCTCAGCGGGGCTCGGGCCAGCTGCACCGAGACTCACCTGGGACAGTGTAAAAAGATGGGAAACGCCCCACGGGTCCACCAAGAGTAGGAGGCGCGAGCAAATCGCAGGATGCTGCTGTGTGGAACGTGACGCGGCTCCGAAACGCGCCCCGACTCGGAAGCAGCTCACAGATACGAGATCGAGCAGAAGAACCCGGACGGGGGAGAACGTTTCCACCGACGTGAAGTTCAAGTCCAAGGACAGACAGATCTAGACCAGGGTTTCTCAGCCTTGGTGCTGCTGCCGTTGGGGGGGACGATCCTGGGGTGGGAGGATCCTGGGGTGGGGCTGCCCCGTGCGTTGGAGGGTGTCCTGCAGCAGCCTCCCCCTGCCTAGCCGTGACACCCACACTGTCTCCAGACACAGCCAAGTGTCCCCTGGGGGCACAGTCACTGGTGGAGAACCCCAGCTCTGGTGATAGAAGGCAGAACGGTGGTTTGGGTGGGGGCAGGAAAGGTCACGAGGGGGTTTCCACATGGGGAGTGACCACGTTACACAGGAGCACACGTACTTACAACATATGTACTTTATGTGCAACGTGCCCTATCGTGATAAGCATTTTAAATGTAGAACACACACGGCCAGTGCCAAGAGCACACCTGCAACATGGATTTCATCTCTCTGGTCCCAGGCACTGTTGTTTTACAGCGGCCGAGGAGACACAGAGCCAGGCTGAAAGGCACTACTGTGTCCAGACACACCCACAGGTGCTGGGCTCTTCCCAGGCTCCTGGGACACGGCTCCCACCAGCGCGATCACAGGCTCAGTCCTGGTCAAAACCAGATGTGCTGGTGCCTCCTACCCACCCGCCTTGCAGGCTCCCCACCCACTGAGCTCAGACTGCCTGGGTCTCTGCTCGCTGCCTCAAGGCCTTTGCCCGTGCTGTTCCCTCTGGCTGGGGTTCTCTCCTAGTCCAGCCAGCTCCTACCCATCCTTCAGGAATCTTCCCAGCTGGGCCAACTGGGCCAATTTCCTCTCATATGGCACGGTGTCCCCGCCACGAGCAGGTGTGTAACTATCCGTTCAGCATCTATCAGCCACAGAACGGCAAGGACCACATCTGCCTTGCTCAGGGCTCTGAGTTGGGGCCACACCCAGAGCCTGGCACACAGCTGGAAGAACACCCAGGGTCACCCGTTCAGCCATCCCGAGACCGCCTCCACTCAACCCCAGCTGTCAGAACTCAAATCTCACAAGTCCCACTTGGTGCAAGCCAGGGAAGCCACGTAAACAAGTCCCCCACCCATGAAGCGCACGCTCTGGGGGTGGGGGTGGCCCTGCTGCCGGATCCTCATGGGTTGCAGCGCAGGCGAGCTCACACCTCCCCGACCCACTGGCCTGAGGCCGCCGTGCACCGCTGCTTCTGCCCTGGGGCTTCCCCGGCCCAGGAGTCCCCCGGCCTGCAGGCAAACGCAGCCAGGCAGTGGGGGCCCAATGCCCCTGGGGCCCCTCGGTCAGGGTGGCAGAACCCTGTGGGTGAAGACCCCACCTCCGCACTCCTGCAACACTGCTGGGATCCCACACCCCACTCTGGCCCCAGTGGACCTGGCACTTTGGTACCCGCAACGGTGACCTCCGTAACACCCCTTCCCTGCTCCTGGACAGACACCAGCACCCCAGCCCTGTCTCAGGCTCTGCTTCCCGGGGACCAGGGGAAGGGAGTCTTCCCTTTGTCCTGTCTCCCTGCGACTCCCGACTTGGGTTTCCACAGGTTTTATGAGGGAAACAGAGCCGGCCCCACGAGGGTGGGCTGGCCCCGCTGGGACAGCACCTAGGAGGCGGTGGCAGCGTGCAGGCTCTCTAGTCACCCGGGACAGGAGGAGACACGGGAAGATGACAATACCCCAAAAGTGGGAGCGACTCAAGTGTCCATGGAAGGACAAACAGACACACAGAACATAGCACGTCTGTTCAGTGGAGTATCGTTCCGCTGCCGTGAGGCCACACTGGGTGGGAGGGGACGCCCCCCCCTCCCCCGCTCCTCCTCCGAGGCCCCTCTTGCCAACTCTGCACAGGCTTGGGGCCGGGGGCTGCCCCACTGCAAAATGTGCTCGTGTTTGGGGGAGGGTGGCGTGTGCGAGTCGGGTCAGACTTCCCGATGACAGCGGGTGACCCTCTCCTTCCTCGAAGCCCCTTCCAGTCTTGCTCCGTTCCCTCCCACTTTTGTCTACGTTTATTCTTCCCCCCTGCCCCACCGCCCCGCCCGGCCCCGCCCCAGGTCCCCAACTGTCCCAGCCAGGTTCTGGCAGCCCCCGCCGGTCACGCCCCTTCTGGCCTGCGCCCCACCCACACCGTGAATTCCTGTCCTTCCCAAAGCACGGCAGCCTCGGCATCCCGTGTCCCTGGAAACCGCAGCGGTTGCTAGGAGAGTCGCCAAGGCGGGAGGCGAAGGTGAGGGGGCACCCGGCCCCCGCGGGCATCTGGAAAGCAGCCCCGGAGGAGTCTGCCGCACCAGATGGTGCTTGGGCAGAGAGAGGGATCGTTAAACTAAATCCAGACAAACAGTTGACAGCAGAATCAGCTCCTTAGATCTTTCAAAATATTGGGCGTGCAAGAAGCAACGTGAGAAAGCAGCGTGAGCCGCCTGCTCAGCCCGGCAGCGCAGCGGAGCCGTTTGTAGGGGACAGAAATGGAAACGGTTCAGGGTTTTTTCTCAGAAGCCTTCTCAGGAGAAAACACAGAGCAAGGACGGGAGCAGCCGGCTGCCAGGGACGGGAAAAAATGACTCCAGGGCTGCGGAGCTGAGACACTGTTGTGAATCCTGGACTAACATCCCCCGGGGACTTAATCTCACTTGGTGGCAGTTTTGTTGGTGGTGGTGGTGGCCGTGGGTGGCTGTTTTTTAGGAGGTACAGGCAAATAGTCCCTAAACTAAGCAACGAACACAAGAACAGTGTCCACTGCCACCTGCTAGGAGGGCTGGGGGAACCCACGACTGCCGGACGCAGGGAAGCTGGACCCAGGCCCTCCGCCTCCCCTACCCACGGTGTGTGGCATCCGCCACACCGAGCCCTCTGCAGGTCCCCAAACCTCCCCGGGACCTGCCCCCCTCAGCAGCTCATCTGTGCTGTCCTCTCAACCCGGTGCACCCTCCCCCTCTTGGCCACCTCCCATGTGTCCTTCAAGTCCTCCCAGGTGCCACCACCTTCGGCAGGCGCCTCTGAACCTGCCCCTCTGCCGGGTTCCACACGCAGAGCCCCGTCCTCACCCTCATGACATTCTAGTACAAGTCTGTACATCCCGCCCCTGTCCCCCGCCACTCAGCCCCTCCAGGCTGTAAGCCGGTGAGGCAGGAGCTTCCCTTTCCAAGGCCCCTGGACAGAATCCACCCACGTAACGGTGTTCTGCAGGGCCAAGCGGGCAGCTCCAGGTCCCCAGACATGGCGACAGTCCTGTAGGGACTCTGCAGAGGAGGGGACACAGCTTCCAGATCCCCACTCTCTACCCGAGACCCCACAAACGTGGTGCGGCTGTTGGCTGCCGGGGGCGGTGCGGGGGGGCTGGACTCCCGCCGGCGCAGTCTCCGGAACACAGCCCTCGGGCGTCGCATCCCAAAACCAGCCCTCAGACATCTCCCTGACAGGGAGGCCGAGCTCTCCCAAGGGAGCAGACAGTCACCCACAGCCTCCGAAAATGCCACACTCTTCAACGCAGATGCTAAAATTACCTGGAATCCGAAGCAGATGGTGGGGAAGACACTGAATGCAGAGGTCCAGGAGGAAGGGCTGTAAAATAGACAGGAACAGGTGTTTATTAAAAAATAATTAGATGCAAAACAACCTTCAGCTGGAGAGGATGAATTTCAAGTGACACCAGGAAAATGTACCCGAGTATGGCTGCGAGATATATTTTTAATGACTGTGTCCATGACTGTGTTTTGGGGGACGGAAAAAGGATGCTTGTTAAATGCTGCACTTTCTAAATATGTCTTCGCTGACATTTGGCAACATGATATTCTCCCCGCGGGCAGAAGGAATTCCCAACTTCCCCCGAGGCTGCCTGTTGAAGGCGGCTCGGTGCTGGTGGGGCACAGGCCGCATCTGCCCAACAGATCCCCAAGAGCACAAGGATGGTTTGACCTCCATCCGAGCCACCTAAGAGGACAGAGATGTGCACGGGCGGAACCTTCAGGTAGAGCTCTGTTAGGGACCGCCACCTGGTCCCCAGCTTCCCTTGACAAGTTTTGTAGATATAATTAAATTAAGATGAGGTCGTACTGGGTCGGGGTGGGCTTAAATCCAGGGACTGGCGCCCTTATAGGAGAAGAACGCAGACACACAGAACACCACGTGAAGACGGAGGCAGAGACTGCAGTGACGCATCCACAAGCCAAGGGACACAGATTGCTGGCGGCCACTAGACGCTGGGAGAGGCAGGAAGGATCCCCCACCCCGGGAGCCTTGGGAGGGAGCGTGGCCCTACTGACACTTTGACTTCGGACTTCTGGCCTCCAGAACCGAGAGAGAAATTTCTGATGTTTTCAGCCACCATGTGTGTGGTCACTGGTCCCAGTGACACTAGGACACTCACACGTCCTCCTAACTCACCGCCCTTCTGTTACCCTCTCCTCCTCCTCACCACCCAGTGCCGGGTACCACAGGCTCAGAGCACAGACCACAGCGCTCGCGGCCTTCGATGCCTTCTCTGGCCCACGTTGACCACACTTCTCCCTCCGGCCCAGACCTCTCTGCCCAAGCCCCAGACACACAGATCCGACCAGCCGCTCAGCATCTCTCCGAGACGTCTCAACACGGCATCTCCACCCTGGCCAGAGAGCTCCGGGTCACCTTGACTCACTCGCTCTCTGCTTCTGACCCATCGGGAGCTCAGGCCACAGAGCTCACAGGGCCTGGTGCAAGGTGAACACGCTGGCCCCCTGGTGGACAAGAACTAAGGATTTTAAGACAGCGACAGCAGAGAGTTAAACCAAACGTGGGGCCCCGGGCGACTGTGTGCGTCACACGCCCACCGGCCGGCCCTGCCAGCAGCAAATCTGACCTCAAGAATGACCCCAAGTCTGACCACTTCACTTCTCGTGGCCTCCTTCAAAATCACCTGCTCCAAGACCTGGATCCCGGCAGGGGCCTCCCACCCGGTCTCCCTGCCTCTGCCCCAGGCCACAAAGAGCCAGAGTGATCCTCTTTAGAACAAAGTCCTGTCGCCCCCTGCTGTGTGTGAAACACCGCTGTGTCCCCCGGCTCATCCAGAGCAAAATGAAAGTCCTCGCTGTGGCTCTGAACCCCCCCACGACACCCCCAGACCCTCTCTGCCCTTGCCTGGGCCGGCCTTGCTGCGGGACACGTCTGCAACAGCCCAGGCTGGGCTTTAGTGAGCTCGTGTCCCTTGGCCTGTACCTGGTCAGCAACTGCCCCACCATCCTGCAGATGGACAGGGACCTTCCCTCGGCTTTACGGCCCCAGAGAGAGGAAGGGCTGCATGGGGTGGAGCCCGGGCTCTACTGCACACCTGGGGACACCTCCCCCAAGGCACCTCTGCTCCCCTCTGTGCCTTCCCCCACCCTGGAAGCCACCAAAAGCCACTCTTGCAGACTCACCTCAGCGAGGGACGGGGCTCGCGGACCAGGCCCGGGGTCCGGAGGTAGTACTTCACGGTGACGACCAGGGCCAGGTAGCAGGCGGCCAAGGTGCCCAGGATGCTGTGACAGGCAGGGACAGCGTGAGGGCCTCGTGGCAGGACACAGGCCGTCAGTGTACGGACAGCGGGTCTGAGTCCCAGCTCCGCCCTCGCCAGCACGGCACCCGCAGAGCCCTCCGCCCAAGCCTCAGTCTCCCAGTCTGTACAGTGGGGGCTGCTCCCTGGTCCAGAGGTCAGACGTGTCGAATCCCTAATGGCAGCCGCCACCCTCGGGGATGGCAGCTGCATCTTTCTTCCCACTAATGGACGCCAGGTGGCCGCTCGGGTTTGGCAAAATTAGGACACCGCTGGGCTCAGCCACACCGCAGAGGGGACAAGGACCCCGGGCTCGGCTGCATGAGACACAAGAGCCTCACAGGGTGACAGGCGTGGGACAGGCGCGGTTTGCTGCCTGCCGTCTCCACATCCCGTTTCCAGGGTGGAAAGTCTACTGTTCGTGTACAGGGAAAGGAGGTGAAAGTCCGGGATAGATATTGTTGCCAGGCTTTATTTTCTCAAAACAGGCATAAAGCCTCAGATCCCAAGATTTAAAAAAAAAAAAAAAAAAAATGTACATGTCTTAGTCTCTGTCCCTCTCTGTGCCTGTGCACACCTGTGCGTGAGCAAAAAGTCCGTAACAACAAAATAACAACCACGAGCAGCACGTGGTGCTGTCACAGGTAATTTTCTTTTTTTGCTCGTCTGTGTTTTCTGTCATGAACAGGTTACTTGTATAATTTTTTGCTGATTTCCCCTCATACAACTGGGAAGGCCAACCCTGCAGCTCCTCTAATCCCAGGTGGACAGAAACCCTGACAGCGCCAGCTCCTGCCAAGGTGGGGCCCTGGCTGGAGGCACCGCAGCCCGCACCCTGTACCTGGTGTGTTTCTGGAAGGCGATCTCCCGCGGGGCGGACAGGGGCAGGACGAGCAGCGCGCAGAGCAGGGGGAGGGTGAAGCGCTGGTCGGCGTACCAGGGCCGCAGGGCCAATGGGGAACCGGGCAGGAGAGAGTCACACACTGGCGGGGACACAGAAGGGACTTAGCCGCGGGGCACACGACAGCCGCAGGGCTCCCGCCCCCCGGCTGGGGCTGGACGTCGGCACTAACTCTGCCCCTCAACCCGGGGACGGGATGACAGGCGAGATGGGGAGGGCCGCAGCCCCACCACGACAATCCATTCACAAGCGTTCGCCGAGTTCTCCCGCCAGCCGGCCCTGCTCTAAGTGGCAGGATCAGCCACCAACAAGCAGACAAAGCACCTGCGCTCAAGGCGTCCTGGGAAAGGCCTTTCTGTTCCGCTCAGGAACTCAAAGGGTGTCTGGGATCAACCTGGGGCCTGGAGAAGTTTTTGGGCTGCAATGCTGGGGAGAGCCGAGCTGCTCTGCCTCAGCCCTGCGGGGCTCTGTCGTTGCTGCTCAACAAACTACCCCAGAGCTCAGTGGCTTGGAACCGCCACCGTCCTGTGTGTCACGGATCGTAGGGAAGAACTGGCACAGGGCTGAGCCGGCCAATCCTGCTCCACGTGGGATCGGCTGGAGTCACATGGCTGGCAGTGGGACTGGTCTGGGGCCCTCGAGGACTCCACCCCACACCTGCTACCTGGTGGGGACGCCCGGGCCCTCCCTGCAGTCTGGGGTGGCGGGGGCTGGGGTCTCTCCACATGGGCCCCCCAGCAGGCGAGTCCAGCTTCCTCCGTGGCAGCTGGGGGATCCCAGAGACCAAGGCAGAAGCCGCCCATCCTCCTAACGGCCGGGCCCGGAACTGGCACGGCATCGAGTCCCAGTGTCCACCAGATTCACGGGCAGGGGACGCAGGCCCCACCAACCTCTAGGGGAAGGAGCACCAAAGGATCTGGGGCCATTTTTATTCTGCCACAGGAAGACCGATAATTTGGAGCTGATCTCGGAGGCAAGACAGACGGGGGAGGGGAGAACAAAGGCAGACGGCTTGAGGCTGCAGCCATGGGGACCACGTGGGTGAGTGGCCCCCCCATCCTGTTGCAGCGGAGGCTGAGAGGTGAGAGATGGTTCACAGACACTTGGGATTGTTTGTATTGCTGCGACGTAAACCCTTTTTCGTTCTCAAACGTTCCACAAAGCCAGCCATGTGAGGAAATGATAGCTATTTCTACTGAAATGACACAGGGGAGAGTTCTACGGCCAGGTCGTATACAGAGGCATCTATGAGTGAGGACAGAGCAGGTGTCTGGACCAGAGACACCAAGAGAATGCCCCAAAGGGACCTGCACGTGCTGTGGGGCGGGGCACAAGCCCTTCTTATCCTTCTGGGCTGCCTGCGGCCAGGAAACCCCAGCTCTGACATCGGACTATACCAGCTCCTTCCTAAACCCAAAATCTGTAGAACATCCCCTGAGGTCCTCCGCACCAATGACATGTGTCATTTGTACCCAACTCATGCAATGAACACCCCCAACCTCTATTTAGCACCCCTCTCCCAGAAGCTTGGGCTTGCCTACAAAAGACACAGCCCCAGACACCTAAGCGGGAACACACAAGCAGTGCTCTTTCCACCCCGGTGAACCCACCCAGAGCTGGGGTGGCTCGTGTCCTGCTCAGCATTCTAACTAGTCGGAGTGCTCAACTCCTGATCCTCAGAATCCTTCTCAACACAGCAACCCTACCCCTCCCTGGAGCTGAAACTGGAGATGAACTTGCCACTGGCAGGCAGGGAGTTTCTCTGCCCCTTTACCCACCAAGAGGTTCAGCTACACCCACCTTGGAGCTTTAAGGTATAACAGGCTTTCCTAAGACATGGCAGCTTTTAATTTCAATATCCCACAGCCAGGGACCTTTTCGCTAACGGGTCAGCAGATGGAACAAATAAATTGCAAGATGGGAGACCTCAGTTCAACCCCATCAACAATTACATTCCAATTAGAAGTCTCAGACTGTCAAGATGGATACAAAAGCGGGACCCAACCATATGCTGCAAGAAATGCGTTTTAAAATCCCAGTTAGGTTCAAAGTCAAAGAACAGGAGAGCTACACCTAACGCTAGTCTTATACTATTAATAACAGCAGAGACGGCAGACTTAACACCGGAGATAGAGATGAATGCTTTATAATAACGAACGGATGGACCTAATCACAAAGCTCCACAAACCACGAAACAAAGACTGACACAATTAAAGGGAGAAACAGGCAAACCTGAAATCACAGCTGACAATTTTAACACACTCTTCTTAGAAATGGATAATCACTAGACCAAAAAAAAAGAAAAACAGAAAAAAAAGCAGTAAGGTTGCTATGGAAGATCTGAACACAGCTGTCGGCCACCTTGACCTAAGGGACGTTTCCGGCACACTGTGCCCAGCACCTGCAGAACACACGTCCTCTAAGAGCACATGGGCTGCTCTCCGAGACGAACCGTGCCCTGGACCACCGAGCAAGGCTCAACAGATCTCAAAAGACTGAAGGTACATACAGTGTATTCTCTGACCACAACACAATTAAGGAAGAAACCATGCAGGAATGTAGAAAACTCCCAAATCACTGGAAATTAAACAACACAATTCTAAACGTCCAGGAGTCGAAGAAGAAACCATGGCAAAAATTAGCAAATATTTTGAATGGAATGGCAATGAAAATAGAACATGTCAGAATTAGCAAGCTGCGGCTAAAGCAGTGCTTAGAGGGAGTCTTGGTTGGGACTAGCGGCCAAGGTTGTGTGGGGGCTGGGAGCCTCAGCCGTCCCAAAGTTAAAGGGGCTCCTGCCTCTCTGCCCCCAGGGGCTTCCTGCTGTCGCCTCCATGTCCTCATCTGTGAAAGGGGCTGTCTCCACCAGACATCCCAGCTGCAGCCATGCCTCTCATGCCACAGATATCATCGTGCTGGTCACTATCAATTCTGAGCCTCCGTCCCCACCGTGTTAGGAGCTGGGGTGTGGTCTGGGCCTCCGCTGCCCCTCAGGTCCCAGGCCAGGGCCTCACCTTCTGCTCGACCCCACAGGTCATCAGGGGTACCCCACCCCGGGCCAGCCCAACTCCGGCGAAGGTACTCACACTTCTCCAGCTGGTCCCCGATCACCCTGAGGAAGGCCACGGAGATCATGAAGAGGTTGACGAGGAAGCAGGCCTCACACAGCTTCCCGACAGCGGGGCCGCACAGCCCCCTGACCACGCTCTGGTAGGTGGCCTGGCCGCTGACGGAGGCTGCGTAGCCCAGGATGACCAGGCCACTGACCAAGAAGACCAAGGAGATCTGTGGACGGGACCCAGAGCTGTGGCACACGCACGGCCCACCCCCCACCTCCACGTGGCCTCTGTCCGCAGCCTGGGGGCCCCCAGAAGCCCTGCAACCAGCACCGCAGAGCAGGCACATTCTGACGGCCTCTCGAAGGCTGTGAATCTGGGGTCCCAGTACCACCCCGCCGCAGCAGGGCAAATGGGACGTCAGAAACCCAGAGTGTTTACATCTCTCTCCTAAAACCTCCTGGGTCACGAGCGGCAGGAAGATGGAGTGCTGGTGACCCGGAGCGGGTACAGACAGAGCTGGGTTCACATTCTGACTCTGCCACTGACCTGCTGTGCTGCATGAGGCAAGCGGCAGCCTCTGTTTTTCCATCTGTGAAATGGGGACGCTACCATCCACCACCTGCAGGCGTGTTGGGGCACATCAGGACTGAGCAAAGCGCGAGATGCACTTGGCTCAGCGCCCCGCACGTGGCAAGTGCTCTAGAAATGGTGTTCTCTCTACTGCAGCTTAAATATTTTTCCAACGCTTATCATGAAAGATTTTCAAGCCTACAGGAGAGTTGAAAGAATCTTACAGTGAACACCCACTGCAGACACCCACCCCCCAGGTAACATCTCGAGCCTTCCACCACGCCTGTGTGGCCAACAATCCAACTTAATTCTTGCATTTTGAAGCAAGTTACCAATATCAGCACTCCCCTCCCCCTGCCCGAATACTTCAGCACGCCTGTCACTCGCTGGAGCTCGATGTCTGCGTACAGCCCTCCTCTCTCACGGGTGAAAATCCACACACAGTGAAGTGCACAGAATCTCACGCGTACCATTAGAGGAGGTCCAAGTGCACACGTGCAACCTGAACTCCTGCCCACAGAGCATTACCGCACCCTAGGACGGTCCGCTGGTCCCTACCCAGTTTCTGCCTCCATCCCCTCCCCTCCCCAGCTGAAACCACTGATCTAAAATTTTCCTACTTTATACACTTCCGTATCTGGCTTCTCCCACTCAGCACGTTTGCGAGATTCATCCACTTTGTGACCGTCAGTTTATTGCGGTTTTTGCAAATAGCCCATTGTGTGAACGGACCAGTTTGTTCGTCCTGCGTCCTAATCCCTCGCACCTGTGACTGCTACGCGTGGGCAAGTTCCTGCAGGTGTCAGTAATGAGTGTGAGTAAATGAGAAGGGTCTTTGCCCACGTAATTATGGGCCTCGAGATGAGGTCATCTTGGATCACCCAGGTGGGCCCTAAACCCTTATAGGTCCTTACAGCGTCCTTATGGAGACAGAAGGGGAGGCAGAGACTGGGGTGATGAGGAGGGCCTGGGCCCCCAGGAGCTGGGACAGCCTTCGGAGGGAGCGAGGCCCTGCCCCCACCCCGACTTCAGACCCCTGGCCTCCAGAGCTGTGGAGAATACGTGTACAAAGCCCCCCATTTTGTGGGTATCTGTTACAGCAGCCACAGGAGACAGACGCCAGTCCCTGTGCAATACTGTGGGGGTCCCCAGCGACTCCCACCCACCAGACTCCGAGCTCTGTGAGGACATTTTGCCCCAGAGGTGTCTGGCACGTGCAGGCACTCGGCAAACAGCTGTGGTTGGGGGAGGGGGAGCTTCAGCCTGAGAACCATCCCTGGGATGGGGTGACCCCGAGAGGGGCCCCCGTCGCTCTGGGCAGCAGGACAGCAAGGCACCCTGGCCACCCTGCCAGGCTGGGCCTCTCTGCAGCTCAAGAGAGGGTTGGTCCTGCTGTCATCAAATGTCATCAAACCTTCAACCCTGATGGGGTCAGAGACCTCTAAACAGCACAGTCAGTGGGTGGAGGTTAAACACTTCCAGACAGAGGTTTCACCGGCTAAGGGGGGGAGGCAGGCTCCCCCAAATCTTCCATTGTTCATGCTGAGGTCACCCGCCTGCCCCACTCCATCTCCCTGGCAGCTCTGGAGGGACAGGAACGGTGTGTGGCGGTGGGTGGGTGTCAATGGCCAGCCTGGCGCTTCTCCTTGTCACAGTTTCCACTTGTCCGTGTTGGGGTCCCCTCTCCCAGCCTGCTGGAGGCAGGCTCTTCAGACCATCCTGTGCAAAGCAGCCACGTTGCCTGGGAGCAAGTCTCAGGTCCACCCAGACCTGCTGAATCGGCGTCTGCATTTCAGCAAGAGGCCCAGGGCAGGGCCGTGCGTAGAGCTGAGGGAGCAGGGTCCACCTCTGGCTCACAGCCCCTCCTGCTGCCCTCAGACTGGCCACGACCCCCTCATCACGATCCCTTTGTGGCTGGACATCCGGCTTCCTCCTCGTTCTTCCAGTGGCAGCCACGCTGGGGCGCTGCTCCAAACACGGGCAGAGAAGCTCGTGCTGTTTCCACTGGGGCTGAGCCTACATGTCGCCTGCTCAGAGAACGCCCGTCACACGGCCCTCCCAGCACAGTGCACCACCTGGAGCTCCACCTGCCGACGTGTGTCCTGACTTCCCATTAGAGCAGAGCGTCATGAGGACAGGGACCACGCTGCCTCGTCCACCCCACGCCGGGAGCTGAGCAGGCGCTCGGCCAGCACCGAGGTGGCGTGGGATCCCCCTGGGCACCACAGGGAGCGGGGCTTGGCAGTTTCCAGAGGGACGTGCAGAGCCCTCTGGCCCACAGACGGTGGGAACTCAGCCACTGTCTCCTGGCTGCTATAAAACGCGTGCGACATGAAGCTCGTCAAAGAGCTCGCTGTACAATGCAGCGACTCGTGCCGGCCCGGGGAAAGGAATCTCAGAAAAGCAAAGCTGTGCTCCTGGTGGCTCTTCTGCGGGGGGACGCGCAGCCCCCGGGCTTCCTTGGAAGGGAACCCAGGCTTGGCAGCCAGCACACAGGAGGGACGATCGTCTCCGACGCTACGCAAGGCCTGGCCCAGCTCTGGGAGGGGGCGTGGGGATGTCGCACCAGTTTTACGCTCCGTCTGCACCCGGGGTTTCAGCTTTAGTTCTCGAGCCGAGAGCAGCAGGCCAGGGAGGAGCGCCTGGCGCGGCCCGAGGCTCAGAGAGGCTTCTTCCCGGCTGAGATGCCAGTTCACAGACGGAGCGGCAGTGCCTCTGCCGGCTGCAAACTGGACTCACCAGCGACCAGAGGGTGTTCTCCCCCGAGGGGTATCGTGGGGTCATCTTCCCCCATTAGCTGAGCGGGATGGAGAATAGAGTCCCAGGGGTGTAGTTTAGAAGACGGGCAGCTCTGCAGAGGCAACGCAGAGGACCCACCCAGAAAAGCCAAACCCCCCTGCCCAGAATGCTTCCCAGGGACTTACCAGCTCCACCAGGAAGGCCGGGACGACTCCGCCCGCTTTGTGGAAGGCCCAGGGGAAGCTGAGCAGGCCCGCCCCCAGCGCGGACTTCAGGAGAATGAAAACGGCTCCCACGGAGGACAGCGTCGGGGTGGCCGTGGCGGGGAGGGGCTTTTCTACAAGGCCTCTGCTTGGGGCCTGGCCCTCCATGGCTAGAGGCAGTGGGGCCGAGGGAAAGGGCGGTCTGCACGCTGTCTGCCAAGTTCTCGGGTTGATCCTGAGATCTGCCGGCCCCTCCTCTCCCTCCGCCTGGGCTCCACCTTCGCACAGCCACTGCTGGTCCCTCCCCAAGCCCTACTTTATATCCCCTCTGGCCCCAAGGTGACTCTTGCCCCTTCCTCCTCCCCACATGTCCGCTCTCCCCTCCCCACCTGCTGCCCCCTTTGCTTCCAGCCAGGATCTGCACCCACTGTGCCCCACCCCAGCCCTTACCGCCAAATCCAAACTCACTCCAGGGGGTTCAACTGCATTTCCTGGGCCCAGAACGGTGGAAAAGGGAAGATTCCAGCTCACCCAGGGGTGGGTGAGTGAGTCATTAACGAACAGAGGCCCCGAGAGGATGGGTTAGGTGCTGGTCCCCAACCTAGCGTGGTCAGAGTCACCCATGCCAAGAACCTGCTGCTTTCGCGACTTCTGAACATGGGAGTCTTAAGACCCCCATCCCCTGCAGACCCCTCCCCGGGGGTGGGGTTTTCTCAGGCCCTGGAGCGTCCCAGGGGGCTCAGCTGGCAGCAATGGAGGTGGGGGACACACCTGAGCTCACCTGACCTCCGCCCTCAGACGCCGCCGCTCTCAGGCCCCCAGCCCTCGGGCGGGGTAGGAAAGCGCCCGGCTCCCCCGTCTGCAGAGGGGGCCACGAAGTCAGTCTCCTCTCCCCTTCCTCCTTGCTGCAGCGCCCACCCGTGCTCCTCAAACTCACCTGTGCACGCGATTCGCCTGGGGCTTGTTGAATTCGTGTTCTGATTCCTTCCACCTGGCTGGAGCCCGAGACTCCGTGCTTCTAACCGGCTCCAGGGCAGGTGCTGGTCCCCGGGCCGCACTTTGAGTAGAGACAATCTCTCTCTGAACTGACGGCGTGGTCAGCGGCGACGGCCTCATTCCTGAAAATGCAGGCGCATGAAGGTCAAACCTGCAACATGAACCTCTTTATTCCTGGAATCCAGGATCCCTCTCACCTCGTTCATGAACGTCAGTTGGCATCGGAATCCCCCGCAGGGCCCGTCCCCAGAGTCTCGGACTCAGAGGGTGTGGAATGGGCGCCCCCAGCATGCGTGTTGCTAACAAGTTCCAGGTGATGAGCACCGCTGCTCTGAGCTAAACGTCTTCACTGCCGGGAGCCCCGCCTCACCGCGTCAGTCCTGTGTGTCCACACTGGTCAGCCCCTAAAGGCTTTTTTCTCGACGTGGTTTCTGACTTCTGTCGTCTGCCCCGTGCGTCAGCGGCTCCGCGCGGCGGGTGCTCTGTAACTGCTCCCTGCTGAGCGTCCAGCTTCTCCTTGCGGACACCGGGCAGGAGCACAAGGCTCAAGGCTGCTCGACGTCCTGTGTGGCCCTCACGCCGCCACCACGTAAACGTGCCACGACAGCCAGGCCTCGCACAAGTGTTCACGCTGACTCCCAAGGGGGCGTCACCGTCGTTCCGGCCGTCCCCCCCCCTCCAAGGAGCAGGACCTGGGCTTAGGTCAAATATGGGGCTCAAACATCACAGCCGGCAAGTGACAAGACCATATTAACCCCCAAGTCAGTCTCATCTCAAAGGCTGTGACATCATACTGCCTCCCTGCCCCCACGCTGACTCAGTGCCCAGGATAGGAAGTAACGAATGAATGAGTGAGTGAATGAATGCATGAATACACAGACTCCAGAAAAGACAGAACGGGGAAAGTCGTTTGGTTTCCCCCCCTGTATTAGGCTCCTGTGGCTGCCATAACCAAGTGCCACAAACTCGGTGGCTTAGAACAATGAGAATCTATTCTCTGATGGTCTTGGAGGCCAGAAGTCAAGAGATCAAGGTCTAGACAGGGCCCCCTGGGTAATCTAAGGAGCTCCCGTCTCAAGATCCTCAACTCAGTTTCCTCTGCAAAGACCTCATTTCCAAATAAGGCCCCACTCATGGGCTCCAGGGCATGGCGTGGACGTACCTGTTGGCAGCCACCATCCAGCCCGTGGCACCCCTCATACCTGGTGTCCTCGGTCAGTCACTCGACAAACACTGATTGATTAAGCACCTACTGCATGAGAGGCCCTGGCAGTTCAGAGGTGAAAGAGAAGGCCTCTGCTCTGGAGGAGGGGACAGTCCCGTGGCGGGATCAGGACGTGAGGAGCAGCCCCGGCCCAATGGGAGAAGGATTGGGCCACAGACCCGAGGAGGGTGGGGGGACGGGAGGGACGTCCTGGAGAAGGTACTGCATCCGTGCCCCAGTGGGGAGGGGCTGGGGGCTGTTCTGGGCAGTGGGGACCTCCAGTGCCAAACTCAGCCAGGAGCACCAGCGGGCCTCCCGGGAAGGTCCACAGTGGTCTGGGGGCCCCTGGGGGACAGACCCCAGTCAGGGCTGCCCTGGGCAAGGCTTGTCTCACTACCCCAGGAGTTTAAAGTCCACGTCCTCCTCCCTGGGCGGGGGCAGGGGGTCATTAAACTATGTGATGAAGGCGCTGGGCACAGCAGGGAGAGTGGGGGCTGCGGGTGGCGCGGCAGGTTGGGTCCATGCAGTACCCCGGGCTGGGGGCCCCATGCAGGAGTCACACTGCTCTCCCAGGCCCTCCAAAGAGCCCACGTCATCCCCCCTTCCCCCAAATCCGGCCTCCTGAGAAAGCAGATAAAGGGCCCTTCATCAGCGGCTGGGAGCTTTGTACTCCTTAATCTCGGCTCTGGGGCTGGGGGCACTTCCCTGTCCCTGTCGTGGCCCCTCATTAGCGGCCCATTAATGTGCATGACTTAGGAATTGGCCACTGGGCTGTGAAATCCCAGACAACCGGGACACCTCTTAATTCTGGGGGGCTTTGATATCCACCCTCTGCTGGCATCACAGGGCCGTGACCTTTCCCAGCCATGGAGGGTGCCCTGCTGGGCCCCATCTGCAGTTGCGGCCTGTGGGCAGGTGGCCACCGTCTGCCCAGCCCAGCCCCGCAGGGCCTGTCGCTGGCCCTGGTGCAGCAGGAACTCTTGGGGGATGCACAGAGGGGTCGTGTGGATAGCCCAGGCGGTGGGGCAGCCCAGCTCCTGCCCGGGAGCCCCCAGCACGTGGTGGCGTTCTCCCCTCTGTGCTGCAGGGACCAGCGCCACCCCGCTGGGCCAGTTCGGGTCCCTGGGGATCCCTTCTTCCCCCCCCTCAGAGCCTGTCAGACCACAGGTGAGGCACTTCCACAACTAGTGCCCTCTGCTCAATTCCCCAGCTTCGTGCACACCCGTTAGAACATTCTGGAGGACAGATGAGGGAAGGTGGAGCCCCAGTTCTGGGCAGGCAGGGCCTCCGTCTGTCCCCGCCCCCGAGCCCACGGCCTTTCTTGCCCCGCAGCGTCCAGCCCTGGGACATGCCAGCTGCAGTGAGCCCACCACGTTGAAGAAGTAAAGCCTCAGCCTCCTCAGATGACAGCAGTTTAGGGACTTTGAAGGGTGGAGGCACCTGCAGTTCTCTAGGGAGCCAAAGTCCTTGCACAGAAAACGTATGACACCTTAGGGACAGCGAGACCCAGTGCGGTCGCTGAATGATGGCCCCAAAGCCATCCTTGTCCTCCCCTCCAGACCTGGTGAATATGTCACCCCACATGGCAGGAGGGACTTGGCAGATGAGACTAAGTTAAGGATGTTGAGACGAGGAGGTTACCCAGGGTGTCCTTACAACAGGGATGCAGGAGGGGTCAGGGGTCAGAGGTCAGAGAAGAGGCCTTGAAGATGGAGGCGGAGAAGGGAGTGGTGTGCTTGGAAGACGGAGGACGGGGCCTCGAGCCCAGGAGCGCAGCAGCCACTAGAAGCCAGGAAAGGCCCGGAAGTGGACTCGCCTGGAGCCTCCAGAAGGAACCACCAGCCCTGCTGACACCTGACTGAGTGCACCGAGGCTGAATTCAGGCCTCCAGAGCTGCAGGACAATAAATGTGTTGTTTTAAGCCACTGGATTTGTGGTGACTTGTGACGGTGACAACAGGAAACGAATACGGCAGCATCCCGAGTTCTGACCTTGGGCAACTCTGACAGCAGAGGCCCTGGGACCCCCCCAGGCTCCAGGGCAGAGGTGGGGCCCTCAGGAGAGGCGGGCGCAGGCCTTGCCAAGTCCGCTGTCCCTCCCTTACTAAGCGCTGGTTCTCCAGGGAGCTACAGTCGGGAGTCCCATGTTGGGTGAAGGAGGAAAGGGACGGGAACCTTGGCAGTGAAAGGAAGCATTCTCACCATAGCCTTCAAGTTCACGCTCCTGCCGTCCCATGGAGGAAACACGGGTGGGCTGGTGTCAGCAGGCTGGGAGCAGGGCGGGACCGAGCCCGCAGGGTCATCTCTGCAGTCCTGACCCCTGGGGTCCACACTGATGCTGGGCTCTGCAGGGCCCAAGAGCCTCCCCCAGGGGCTCACCTGTTCAACGTTCTCTGGGCTAGAACTTCATTCCACAAGCACCTCACCTGCAGTGTTAGCGTGATGTTACGATGGAGATCAAAGAAACGTAGTCTACCTTACGAACAAAATTCCTTTAGTTCAATCATTCGTCAACATTAAAACGCACGATCCTGGTTTCAGGCTTCTCTTAATCAACATGTGCCGTCCCTGAGATGGGGCCTGGAGCTCCAGTGAGCCCTGGGCCACCTGACCCGCTGCTGTATACCTGGCCCATTTCCTCATGGCTGTGACCTGCCGGGGACCGAGAGCCAGTGGCGCGCAGGTGGCCCCAGCTTTTACATGATCAAGCTGCAGGTGGTGAGCGTCCCACATCTGTTGAGGGCTGGCAGGGACACGAGAGGTTCCACAACTGCCAGCGTACAAGCCCCTCGTCTGGACAAGCACAAGTGGCGCTCAGACCCACAGCCACCTGCCGAGGACAAGCAGGCTACCGTGTGCCAAATGTGCACATCCTCAGGGCTGCTGGTGGTACCCGAGGAACTCGGGATGGGAAGCAAGCGCCACACGGGGCCTGGGCACCACCTCAAGTCCTGGAAGCCACGGCAGCCAGAGTGCAGGGAGAGCCGCGAGGTGGCCCTGTGACCTGCCGAGCAAGGGAGGGCAGAGCCTTGGCAGCTTCTGTCCCGCCCCTTGGCCTGGGCTTTTTCCTGCCGATTTCCTGCACCCCACCGGCACCCCACCGCCTCTGGCCTTTCCTGCTCGCTCTTGTCTGCGGTGAGGGGCTGGTGCTTGGCCGATCCGCACGCAGCGAACGTGCCAGTCAGGCAGGGATTCCACGTCAACAGGCTGCCTAGGACCAGGCGATGGCTTCTTAGATGACACTTAACACACCAGCAACCACAGAAAAATACAGAAAAACTGACTTCATCAAAATGAAAAATTTTATCCTTCAAAGGACACCATCAAGAAAGTGAAAGGACGAGCAAAAGAATGAGAGGAAATACTTGCAAGTTATATATCTGATAAAGGACTTGTGTCTGGAACATAGAAAGAATTCTTACAACTCAATAATAAAAAGACAGCCCAATTAAAACTGCAGGCAAAGGCTCTGAACAGACATTTCTCCAAAGAATATACACAAACGTCCAATAAAGACGTGAAAAGATGTTCAACGCTGTTAGTCTTCAGTGAAATGTAAATCAAAACCACACTAAGATACTACTTCACGCCCACCAGGATGGCTGTAATCAAAAAGACGGATAATTACAAGTATTGGCGAGGATGTGGAAAACTGAACTCCTACACGTTGCTGACAAGAGTGTAAAATGGTGCAGCTGCTTGGAAAAAAAAGTTTGGCAGTTCCTCAAAAAATTAAACATAGAGCTATATGATTTCACTCCGAAGTGTATATCCAACAGAAATAAAAAACTTATGTTCACACAAAAACGTGTACTAGAAGACTCACGGCGGCATTATGTAACAGCCAAAACGTGGCAACACGTCCACGAGCTGAGGACCAGACAAACGAAACGTGGTCTATCCACACGACAGGAACTACCACTCGGCCACGACAGGGAATGAGGTGCTGATCCATGCTACAGCCTGGGAGAGCCTGGAAAACACGCCGCTGAGTGACAGAAGGCAGACAGAAAGGACCACGTACCACGTGATTTCATTTGTGAGACACATCTGGAACAGGCAGGTCCGGAGACGCAGGCAGACTGGTTGCCAGGGGCGGGGGCGGGGAGAAGAGTTGGGGGTGAGCACTGATGGGTACAGGGTTTCTTTTGGGGGTGGTGAAAATGTTCTAGAATTAGACAGTGAGTGGTGATGGTCGCATAACCTTGTGAATACACTAAAAACCACTGAGCTGCGACTATAAAATGGGCAGTTTTATGGTATGTGAATTCTATCTTAGTAAAAAAAATTAACGAGCTGACTCAGACCCATTCCAGGCTGTCATCAAAGAGAAACGGACGAGCAGAAAGAGCCTGTTACACAATGCTTTTCAGCTTCATACAGGGAGTACATATTTATTGAAAATTCTCTTCACCGACAATGGTGAAATCAAGACCCCAAATTACAAAACATGATGGCAGTTGATATTTATAAAAATAAAGCAAAGGTCTATGTTTCACAGATTTGTGCAAGTTTCCTTCAAATCTCAGTCTGTCCTTTCATCAAAAAGTAGATTATGGAATCTGTGTCATTCCTCATGATGTAATAGTAAAAAACTGCATTCCATTGACAAAAAAAAATAGCTTTGTTTCCAAATAGTACAAGTCTTTAAAGTGACTTTTTCCCAACAATAAATATAGAAAATAGCCTTTAACAAGCATATCTTAGCTTGGTCAGGTTGTTTCATTTGTTTAAAAAGTCCATCCTTCCTCTCAGGTCCGAAGGGCCCAGTCAGCCTTCCTCGTGCTCCGAGTCTTTGGTGCTCGCAGCTGCTCGGTGTCTCACTCGAGGCTCAGTCACAGAGTCCCTCCTGCGGGGCCCACGGCCACGAGATCCTCCCACCACCACAGGAGGGAAGCTCATTTAGAATGGCCTCTAACAAACCTGCAGCTGGAAACTGGATCCCTTTGAAACAGGCGGCTCCCAGGGAAGCTCTCCACAGCTCTGCCTGCCCACCTGAGCCGTCCCCGCAGGCGCTCCTTGGCTCAAGTCGGCCAGTCTGACGGTCACACGGAAGGAGTCTTTGGTGGGTGAACCTGCTGCATGAGCTGTGGGCGCTTGACCCTGGGCTTCCTCCGCTTCGGCCTACTCTTGGCTTTGTTGATTTGTACCACGAAGAAGGCCAGGACCACCATCGCTCCCAGGAAGGCAAAGACAGGAATGGTCTGGCCCACCTCCTGGTTGTAGCGGCCAGGCATTATCCCTGCAAGAGAGCAGCCGGAGGACAGTCGGTAATGCCACAGAGCTACCGCTATGGCCTCTTTTTCTATGACAGCTGGATTCCTCAGAAACTAGATGCTAGCTGATTTCATTAGCCAGGCTTGCCGGGCGCATATCATTTTTAAACCTCAGCTAAAGTAAGCCAAGCCATTAATAAAGCGTGGATGAGAGGCAATGCAGCTATGCTCTCCATGTGCTCAGCAGGAGCTTCCCTGCGGGCTGGAGGGCGCAGTGGGGCCTACGCTCCTCCTCCCTGGGCTCACCACAGACAGATACCAGGACTGGCCTTGCCTCTGTCACAGAAAACCTACAATAAGGGACCCAGAGGTGCTTTCTGTTTCCCTAAAAGCAATGGAATAAGGACGTGTCTCAGTCCAGGGGAAAACGGGGGGTGTGCTGGTGTTGGACCAGCTGGCTGGGAGGAAGAGGAGAGTGGCAAGGCAGTGAGGTGACAAGGACCACTGGCCATGCCCCGGCCTTCTGGGAAGTCCTCCACGGATGGGTGTGTGAGTGAAAACGAGAGTGGCCACGGGAGGACCCCTGGTTTAGAAAGTCAACAGGACTTTGTGACTGAGCGACGCTGAGGGCTCCAGAATCACCAGCGTCAGTGCATCCTGTGACTCACAGGCAAGGCCTTCAGGATCTTGCCGTCACCACACAAAGCTCCCAGGGTTAGACTGCATGGGCTGGGGCTCCCCAACCTGATCCCCAGTTTCTGGCCAAGTCCTGGAACCCGGAGAAATCCCCACTGGTAGCTGTAAACTCTCCGGAAGAGTGCAGGGCTTTCCACAGCAAAAGAGCCGCCCGCGCTCTGCTGGAGAGACTTGGTACCAGTTGTCCCAGGTAAGGGAGAAGAACACGTCCCAAGTAATCTATTCAGGCCAAAGTCATTGTCTACGTAGGGGACAGTATCAGATCACCTAAGGGGCACACCCCAGCTCAATCACGCCCCATCCCAGGCGGGCCAGGACAGAGAACTGGAGGAAACCTCCAGGCTGGGGGCTCAGGGCGGCTACTGACAACTGGCTGGGACCCAAACCAAAGTCCCTTGGGGACATACGATGTGCTTTGCAGAAATTTCACAAAGAGTATGCAAGTTACTCTGAAAGATTTTAAGTGTAACACTTAGTCGTTGTAAAAGAAATTCAAATGTGAAAATCCATACAAAATTTTCTAAGAGAAACAATGATGTCTTATCTTAATCTTTAGCCCTGCTTTTGGCCTTGTTGATTTGTACCATAGAAAAAGCCAAGACCCACTGCTCCCAGGAAGACAAAGGCAGGAACAGTCTGGCCTACCTCCTGCGGGAGGGAAGGAAGCTACTTTGAACAAAATTCAGGATTTAAGCACAATAATAAAGCACCTAAGAACTCACCTCCAGGAATGTCCCAGGCGCCACTTTCTCCAGGGGACAATGGTCTCACTTGAGGGCGATTCGATCGGAAGTTGGGTAACACCACTTTGTCCAGGTCAATGGAGAGTAACTTTTGATGTTTCCAAAGATTACTTCGGGAAAATGGATTTAAACAACATTAAAATAAGCAATCGTACTGGCCTAGGAAGTTAGCCAACACCTCACAAAGAGTATCTAAAGTGAAATGCGCAACGACGTTGCCATCTACATACACCTAAATACCACTGTACAGCAACTGTGGCGACCACTGCCAAGTCTCCAGAGAGAAACGTCAAAATCAAGTCCCTGCGCAAGAGATTTTAATATTCCGAGGAGGGATCAGTTCTGTTGGGTTCATAATATTGCCAACAGGAGTTTGTTTTTGCTTAAAGTTGGAAACACCGCCGAGCAATGCGGAGGATGCTCCCGGTGAGCCTCTGAGAGGACGCTGTGGACAGGGGAGCAGCAGCCTGGTCAGTGGACACGGCCTGGGGCCGGAGGGTGCCACGGAGGCGCTGAGCAGCTGGAGCCTGCTTTCTGATTAACGCCAGGCACGCAGTGAGTGCGACTCCACGACCGCCATATACAAGAAGTGGGCACAATGGTGCCAGGAACCAGACACCATCTTTGTCCTCAAGGAAACCAATGTCCGGAGGGAGAGTGTGACAAACATACAGGTAACTGACAGGTGGAGAGAGCCTGAGCAGCGAAACTGGGAATCGACATCGGCCTTGCCTGCAGGGCGGGCTGAGACCCAGCGACGCGTGCTCTGTAAAGGCACCGCACACTTTGTGGCAGCACCACTGACGTTTACACCTTCCGAACCTGTGCAGGCCAACGTGACTCCGAATGAAGAGGACAGAGGCTGACACACTGTCAACAGCGGCAGAGAGTTTGGGAGGACACCTAGGTTAGAGCGAAGTACGTGAATGCAAAGTCTGAACACTGCTCTTAAGTGAGGGAAAATAAAATACGGTATGTTTACAAATTATGAACTTTCTATATTTCTGTTTATTCATTTGGAAACTGTCGGCCTGTCTTTTACTTTGAGCAAGTGAAAGCAAAGACGTCCAGTCCCATCAGGAATCAGACTGAAGGTCCACGAGAAGCTGGCGGGTGACTGGCTACTGGCCTTTTGACTGAATTCAAATTTTACAGAACAAATCCTTTTAATAAAGGGATTTATTTATTCTGTGAAGTTTGGATTCGGTCAAGGGGCCGCACCTGGGGATCTGGAGGGCCACATGTGGCCTTGAGACTGCAGGTTCCCCACCCCTGCGTCTGTGAAGAGGTTTCCTGGCAGGAAAGAAAGAAGCTGCCATTGGATACTCCCTGCTGGGCGGCTGCCTGGATGCCAACAGGTATTCATTACAACCTGTTCCATTTTATACGATTTAACTTTACACTTCAGGCTTCATCAGTCTGAAAATTAAACCGACAGTGTTAAGTTATGGAATCAATGACATTGAGGATTATGACCTTGCAGCTGAACATACATGGGCTGTTTCCATTCCTGCAGTGCCATCCTGTTCTGGAACTTAATTATCTGCTGATGGCCATTCCCAGTGAGCAGCTGTGCTAAGTCCACTCACCCGGCCACCTGGGACTCTCCCAGCCGAGAGGGGGTGCTGGGGAGGGGGGGCCGCCTGGAGCAGGGCTCCTCCTGGGGCCGATGCTCCTGCAGCTGCGGTACGCATGGATGCCCCGTGCCCACCAACGAAACCAGGAAGGTGCCTGCTCACCTCACACCGACAGAAACCTGCCCTCAGCATGGCGCTGACAGACGTCTGTAGCTGTCTACTTGTCTCCAATCTCTTTGAGAGATTCAGAATATGTCTCGAACTAGGTCTCTGAGGACTGAGAATAATTTTCAACAAGATGTGAAATGTGAGATAAATGTAAAACCCAGCAGAGTATTAAGGAGAAGGAATTATTGAGAGTGATTGTGAAAACCAAATTCTAGGAGCTGTACATTACCAACTTCCTTGATGGGCCCGTTCAGTATTTGATGGATTATTTGATGTGGACAGGTAGATACCAGAGGATATTTTTATCTGTGTCTCAGAGTCCTGAACAACACTGTGGAGAATAATTGGGTTTCTGGAACTTTAGCTAACACTGTCCACTGAGTATGAATTGCTGACCATGGCTGGAATATGAAATCTGGTTTGAATGCTAGAATAATAGATTATAAATAAATGGGATGCAAAAATGGAAACTTATCAGAAAATTTTAAATGATGGGATATTAACTGGCATGGAAAAGTACTCAGTAATTAAAGGTTCAGCAAGAAAATTGCTGATGAGAAGACAATGTGATGACTCTACAATTCTGCTGGTCTCTAAGCGTAGTCTGAACGAAGACACACGGTCACTGAGAGTTGGATTTAGCACTCTCTGTTCATGACGAATGGCAAAAGCAGAAGCAGAGCTCCACCGCCCTCCCGCAGGCATCGCTCCTCAATACGGCGCAGACCGTGCTGCTGTCCTGGCTCCACAGCCCTAGGCCACACCAGCACTCCTCCCGGCTCCTCCAAGCACAGTGCAGTGGCAGCCTCCAGGTGGGGTGGGAAAGCAGGCAGGCAGGGACCACCCTGGAGGGGAGCCTACTGCCCGAGATAGGTAGGAGGAGAGGGGCAGATGTCAGGGCCAAGTGGCCTGGAGGGAAGGGCTCCTGCCTGGTAGTGGTGCAAGTGTGCCTGCCTGGCCAGGAGGACAGCTCTGACAGCTGTTCCTGGCTTCGCCCCCTTCTCAGGAAAGGGCCCCTTTCTCTTTGTATTGTCCTGCTCAGGCCAAGGGCGCTCAGAGAGAAAGAGAGAGAGGGTGGGATCTGGAGAAAACAGGAACCAGCCACACGGCACTGGCTCACCCTGGCTGCAGAGAGAAGCACCAGGGGTAATTCCAGTGTTAGCTACAGAAAGAGGCTGAGTTGGCGAGACAAAGCAGCAGACTGAGCAATGCTTTCGGGGCACCACACAAACAAGTGCAATGACACACAGACAGAGGTCACGGCCTGCCATCGGATGAGGGTGTTTTCTCCCACAATCGTAAGCAGCACAAGGAGTTAACAGCACAGAAGCACACATCTTCCTGGCCAGGCTGCAACAGCAGAACCCATACCTACACAGCACCGTCTCAGCCCCCAGGTATGAGAGCAGAAAGGACTTGTCTGTATTTCGTAATCAGTATCTCACACAGGGAACACACTGCACGTGGTAACACTCAATGCCCCAACCAAAGGAGTCGGAGCTTCAGTTCAAACGACGTTACTCCGCTGGATCACAGCTTTTTAAATAAGAATTAATCAAATGTAACAAAATGCGACTTATCTATCCAAAGCACTTTTTAATGCAGGATACCACCAAGGAGCACATTTCTCAAGGTCAATACGGGGGCTCACTAATATCAACAACCATCACAAATGACAAGTCGGAAGATCTGATTATTTGATAATGATGTCAGTAAAATTCCATTCTCTCCTATAAAAAAAGCAATGACTCATAAGCCCTGCAGAAAGAGTAGAGGCGCAGGCAGACACTAACCTGGGTGCTGTCTCGTTTAAAGGTTGTGGCTTGGCCCAAGACAAGTGTGGACAGGCTGGCAGAGGCCGAGGTTTTGGATCTCCCAGATGGGCCTCAAGAACCTTGGAGTACCGATGAAGATGGTTTCCTGTGGTTAGCAACAGTATCGACAAAAAAGGAAATAATCTCTATTATTAAAACGGAAAGGGAAAAAAATACACCGTTATGAGTTTTTCTGTCTGCTTTCCTGCCAACAGGCCCACTGTGCTCTGGTCAGCTGTCTCCATGTGTTCAGGAACCACACCTGCTCGGTTCCTCCCAGACGACACTGAAGGTGGGCGAACAAATCAGAACTGTTCCCTTTCAGATGGCCACACTGTGTGCGTGGTACTGCCTAGTCAACCTGTGCTGACCACTAGCTACATGCACCTGGGAACGATGGAGGACTCTAACCTATAGATAGGCTGCATGGAAAAATCTCTCTCTCCAGAAATACTCAATCTGCACTTTCAAAATTCTTTATATGTCTTAGATCTGTGCCATCCAAAATGTACCCACAAGCCACATGTGGCTACCAAGCAACTGAAATGAGGTGTTACATATTTTTCATATAATGGGCTAAAGTGTCTTATTAAAATGAATTTCACCCATGCTTCTTTTTACTTTTTTATGTAGCCCCTGGAAATTTTTAAATGACATCTGTGGCTCACATGAGTCTTCCACAGACAGTTCTGTGAGGATCGAACATTAGGGACTTGCAGGCGCTTTCCGCTGGCCCTACTATGTGCAGACCGGTCAGGGCCCCACAGAACCAGCGCAGCCTCAGAATCGGGTTTCAGGCTCCACTGCATGCCTGTCTGGGTGATCGCAGGCAGCTACTCAATTCTTTGAGCTCCTGTTTCTTCATCTGTAAGCTGGAAATTAAACTACTCTCCGCTTTCACAGGATTACTGAGAGGAGTCAGTGAGGTAATCCGTGTAAAGCACTCCCAGTCTGGTGCCTGGTACCCAGTGGGTGCTCAAAAATGTTGGTGATTCTTCCTGTAAGACCCCCAGGAGCCAGTGTCCTCATCTGGCTCCTGGGGGTCAGGTGAGGGTGGAACAGTAAACATGGACTGGGAAGGGCATGAGCAGTGGGAGTGAGCCTGGAAAAGCACCTGCACACAGGGCTTTCAATAAATGTCCCTCCTGGGACACGAGAATGGCCCCCTGAAGGTGAGGGCCACTGCATGCGGGTCCCCCTGCAGCCATCAAGAAAAACCCTCAGTGGCTCATGACGCCTGGCTCCACTTGCTGGCAAGCACAACCACTTTCTAGAGCAGCACTGTGTTAAGCTGGACCCAATTCCCCTCCCCGGGGAGGCACTGTGCGGTTCACTCGCCTTCCATCCTCTCTGGAGTGATGGAGCCCACTCCGCTGGGAGGGCGCTGCCGGTCCCCAGAATGACTGAGGCTGGGAGGTGTCACCCCGTAGGACGTGTACTGAAGGAGGGCATCCAGGAGCCAAAAGCAGTCTGCAGAGTCAACAAGCATGCTGGTTAGGAATTTGATTCTTTTAAAAAGAAATCTCTACAGGAAAATAAAAAATAAAGTTAGCTCTCCAAAAGAGGGGGAAAATGGGAGCTCAGAAGTCGGCAGTTCAGGTCAAAGTAAACCTGACACGTTCCTGATTCCCCTGTTCTCACGAGATACACGTTCTCCACAGGCAGCCCCAGCCCACCCAGCCCAGCACACACGGGCTCGACGTGACCGTGTGCTTCACTCCCAGCGCCCCGGGGCTCCGCGCAGGTCAGCACCACTGTCCCCTGGGCTGGACCTAACAGCCCAAGCACCACACTCAGCTCTGGGCCCCTCACGGGATGGGCACACTCCAGGGAGGTGAGGGTGAGGGCAACACAGATGGGGAGTCTATTAACTTGAGCTGGGCTTTTTGTCAGGGGCCCCCAACCACTGAAGTGTGGAAGCAGAGAGTGGTCACTTTGTTTTCAGGGACTTCTTGGAGTCTACAGCTCCCAGACACGACGGAGCCTTTCCATCAGGAGGCTGAACACACCGTCCCATACATAAACTTGGATTTTTTTTTTTTTTTTTTTTTGCTGGTGCCTTTTGAGCACAGGGTACAAGCTGGGATTTCTGTTGCCATCTTGTTTCTCCCCATGTCTGCCCACTTCGTGTCCCATTAACATCAACTTGGACCAGACAATTCGTGAGAGAAAAAAATGCCATTAAGCTCTTTCTGTCATTAAAGAGCACTTCTGGTCAAGTGCTTAGAGCCCCTAAAAGATCCTAAAAGCTACCATTGGAAATTTAAGGACCAGGACAGTCCTCTTAGGTTTTTAAAATTTTAATAAAGACGCTTATCAGGAGATCTCAGGTCTTAAAATAAAATCTCTGTGGAAATAAAACATTAATCTTCTTTCGACTGTGGTTTTAACCCTCACTTTCGATTTTTAAAAAGACCAATCACAGTCTAAGGATTTACCTAAATGCTAGGAACGTGGCCAACTCTAAACGAGAAGCAGAGCGCAAACGCAGCTCTCGGCGTAGCTCTCGCGCCTCCTTCTCAGCTAAGCTGCTCGCTGTTCACCAACGTCAGGGTGGAACTTACTCACTCCCCACCTACCCCAGGCCTCCAGGGGTCACAGTGAGCTACAAGACTAGGTTTCAGTCCTGGTTTTGTCATCATTTTACCGGATAAACACGTGTAACGCTTTCACCATTCCAGTTCCTCCTTTATAAAATGAGAAAAATGAAGTCTGTTCCAAGCTCAAACACCCAAATCTGGAGGATCCATCAAGAGAGACTGAAAAACAGGAGAGGTGGAAGAGGACTAGTTTGTCCCTTCTTTGCCTCCTCTTCATGCCTGAAGATGACAGCAAACACTCCTCACTGGCAAAGGCTCTCAACAGCCCCAACTCCCAAGTCTGGGAAGAAGGCCAAGAGCGGACACCCAGGCAACATGGCTGAGGAAAGAGTGTGTCAGAGCAGAGAAGGGCGCCCCCACGTGGCAGTGCCCACGAAGTACAGACAACCCAGAGGGCTGCCTGGAAGGGCAGAAACCAGGTAAGTCAGGTAAGGGGCCAGGGTGATCCTGGCCTCCACCGGCTCCAGCGGAGAAAAAGTATCAAAGCCCGTGAAAGCAGTCTTCTTTTGCTTATTAATCATGTCCAGACTCAGATACGTATCACAATATTCTAAGCAATCAAAGCAACTGGAACTTCCCCAGCTGACCACGGCTTATGTGAGCAGGTATCTGCTTATTCCCCAGCATCTTATCAGCGCCTTTTCAGGGACTAAGGGAAGAAAGGATTTGTGCACCAAAATCACTAAGCTCATCTGTTTTTTTCCTACCCTTCTGTCGGTGACTGTCATCCAAGCAATTGGAGTCTCCATACAGTACAATCCGGCCTCCACTCTCGGCTGGAATCTGATAAAGTCCCAAAATGGGGACATTTTCAACAACTGCCGTTTCCTGCTTTAAAACTTCCAATCCTGAAACACAATAAAAAACAGCAATGAAGTTTCTGTTGAGCAACATTTTCCACTTGCCATTTGAGATTTAATCCATGTGATCAATTAAAAAATTAGCAAAATCTAATATGCAATCAAAACTGTAAACTTTTAGGATAGGAAAGCAATGTCTTAGGTGTCATTAATTTGGGCTTTAGCAAAATTTACTTATATGTGTATTTCTATATCCATCCTCTTTCATTTTCACTTGAAATCATGGTATTTACAACCCAAAAGGTGTTACTTCTCCCCCTTTTTATCCTGAAAAAACAAATTTCTGTCCCTTCTTATTATGCTGAAAGGCCTGTCTTCAGACGGCCCATACAAGAGGCAGCCAGCCAACAGCTCTTGCAAAACACACAGGTATCTCTACAAATACAGTTATATACACTGATACCCAGGTTTGGTGTTTTACTATTAAACGTTAAGACAAATGTAACTAATTTTTAAAAGTATATCCACATAATATTTTCCATTTAGATTTAAGATGTTAGTTACATTAATTTCACAAACAGACATGCTCCGACAGCAGAGCCTTCTTAATTTAAAATGTTTAATGAGTCAAGAAGTAAAAAAATGTATAAATGCCATGGGCAGCACCATCACATAGTCTACGAGTCTCTGCCCTAAAGCAAACGCTTTCCTTAGCACTAAACACGACACACATCTTCATCGGAATCCAGTACTGTCTGTGCTGAAAACATCTAAAATGTCTGCTGCTATATAAACGCAACATTCCCTGCTCTCTGTGCGGAAACCCAGTAGGAGGCGAGCAGAAGAAAAAACATGATAGCCTTTGGAGGGAGGGAAGGACCAAGCGGTCAGACAGATGAAACAGGGAGCACATGCCGCCTGCCATTTGGCCGAGTTTTGTTTCCGACAACAGGATCTTTTCGGATCCAGCATAACCCAAATTCCTATTTTGTACTCAAAAGATATTCAACTTAAAGTTTTTACGGGAACAAAAAGCCCCTTAAAAAGGATTTCAAGGTAATTAATTTTTATTTTTAGACTGTACCGGAACCCCAAAATGAAGTATGCATCCTTAAATCTACTTTTGATCCCCCACCCCCACCCCAAAACAATTATATACCAGAGGGCAACAAGCCAATGAGGGGAACGCTGCTCTCACCCCTTGTTTACACCTAGTCCCAGAAGCGAGACTGCCTGTGAGAAACGGCTTTCGGAAAGAATCACTAATCCATGGTAAACTGTGCCAAGTGATTGTGAAAACATAATCATTAAGTGCCTAAGTTTAAAATATAACTCTGTGGAATATATCTATCCATTGACTAATCTTGCTTTGATAAAAGGAAAAAACCTCTTCCAGGTAATAAAATGGATTCTATCTTGCACTTGCAAAAACGTAAGTTGAAAAATCCTACCTTTTCCTCATTTTCAACTAATAAAACTATCCTGACTTCCAACTAAAAAAAATAGCAACCATTACTATGGATGGGCCCTATCATTCTGAAATACATAATATCAACTTGCATGAGGAAAAGGATCCACCTTGCACATTTCCACAAGCCTATGGTCTGCGGCATATAACAGTATCAAAGCTCTCAGAAGAGGTGAGAGTAGATACACGTGGTTCAAAATAACAAGTCTGGAGTGACAGGTGGCAGAAGGATGTCCTGTGGTTTCTGCTCGCCCATTCTTACTTTCCTGCACCTGGCCATTGGGGAGGCAGAGGTGGCCTAGCCCGTTCCCACTCCTCCCTGGCTCACCGGGTGGGCTCTGTGAGCACTAAGCACACAGGGGTATCACAGATGCCAGGTCTGGGGAACTGGCATGGTGCCATGCTGGGTGATGCCTGCTTACAGCTGAAGCAAAACTGAAAGCAAACACCACTCTTAAGAGAATTTTAAAAGGCTACTCTATGCAGTTAAGAACTTCAAAACAGGGTCAAATTTTTCTAAAATCTTAATAATCTGGCAATCACAGAAGCAGAACAAATCATAAATAGAAACAGAAAATTTAGGTAACTTTGAAGTAATCTGTAGTTTTTTAAAAGCTACAAATAAATATTTTTGCCCCTCTCCTGAAGGAATTTGATTTCTTCTGTAGTGGTCACTATATGTACGTACATACATACACACATACACACACACACACACACACACACAATCTATAAAACATATTCAACTTATCAGCAACAGGCTGTCTTATCTATCTTTGTACCTCCCAGAGCCCCTGCCTAGAAGTCATGTCGTCATGCCTAAGGTAGGTAACATACAAATAATATTATGATAAATTTCAAAAGAAACCAAAACTTCTAACGGGTATGGGATTTCTTTTTGGGGTGATGAAAAGCAGACAGTGGGTGATGGCTGCACAATGTTGTGAACACACTAAAAACCATTGAATCATACGCTTTAAGAGGCTGAAAGTTATGTATATAAATTATATGCAATAAAGCTCAGGAAGGGACTGAGGGAGGGGAGCAGGGAAGAGACCAAAAAGCCCATGAATAGTATCCTTTACCTTGGTCCTTAAAAGTCTGTGTTATCACTATGCCATCTTCTGGAAACTTAGCGATACTGCACCCTGATGCATAATACACTAGAAAAGAGGTGTTCCAAGTTACAGGATCGTAGAAACATTGTAATCAACAATTACTCATTCACCCAAAATGCATTCTTTAGACTTTACGTATTTTTTTAAATTATTTTTAATCTTAAGAAAGGAGCTACTATTGCCTTCTCACACTTAAACTACAAGTAATCACCGAGAATTCAAGTAAAAATTATTATTAACATAAAGTTTCTGAATAGATTTTGTGAGAGACTCAAAACAATCTAAGTAGGAACTTGAAGAATTATTAACAATAATTCTCAGGATGATGTTCCAGAAACTAGCTACCAAAAACTTACCTGTGAAGAAACTCTTAAATGAGAAACGCAAACTTATTTCATAAACAGAATTTTATAATCAGGAACCTATTTGAAACTACATATAGTACATAAAGACTCTCGTAAGTAGCACTAAAATCAGGAACCCTATATAAAACATTTTCATTTAAAAAATCTGGACAAAACGAGAGCTTTACACATGTCCTTTTTGAAAATATTAACTAGTTCTTTCCACAGATTCGAGCTTATTGAAGAATCACATCATTCCCTCTCTCTGAAACTTAGGCTGCGGAGGTGTGTGGCTTCCGCTCTCACACCTCTGGGAACGCCGCGCCCTGTTAAAACACAAACACAGAACCTACTGTCGTGGTTTGCCAAGGTAAACTCTCCTTCGTACAGGCCGTCGCTGAACCCCATATTCCACACAGACAGCAGCTCATTCAGAGCTGGGATATTGGATCCTCCAGTATCCGGCATCCACCACTGCCTGTAAAAGTGATGAGACACACACAGAACAAAAGGATTAAGACACTCCATGGAGATTAGTCTTTTCATGACAAAATTAAATTTCTCCGGTCACAATCCAGTCCATCCACACTAAGGTTTCAGCTAAAACTAACTGTTTGGGTTTGAGTAATAATGCAAATGTAAATGCTTCAGCCAATGTGCACAATAAATTAAAAATAAACTTATTTTATGAAATGAAAATCAGCATTGAAATGCATCATCACATGTTAACTGCTTAGCTGAGACCTAGCAAGACTCAGCGAAGGAAAAGAGATAAGGAAGTTTATAAAAGTTCAAGCCACAGACTGTAAAGAAAAAAAAAATCGAAATACAAGGGTGATATATTTATAATACATTGTGAATCCTTGATCTCAGTGTATTACAAACACACAATTAATTTATTAGAAGGAAATAACAGTTCCTTTGGTGCATTAAATTTGTACATATTCAGTAACAGAGAGATGGGAGGATGGAGAATAAACCCAAATTTAAAGCTCAAGGACCTATGACCAACAGGAAAGACGATAAAGCCTCCAAAGTAGTGCTCAGGATCAATATGCATTTTACTCACTTCACAAGCAACTTTCAAGAACGTCTTTGCTATATAAAGAGCGAGCTTTTTTCTAACCTAGCTCTCTGAACGTGTCTCTGCTAACTTTAAAGACCACCAACAGGTCAAATAGTCACTTAAGTATTTGCTGAGAAGAATTTCATTCCCAAAAAGTCACATTTCTTCTTCAAATACCAACTCTTATCAGTACCTTGTGTTTTCATCATAAAACTTCACTTTTCTCATAACAGAAGTGTTGTACCAGTCACTGAAGACAACGAGAGAAAGGCCATTGTCCACATCCCTTCTCAACTTGGCGATCTCTTCAGGGAAGTACTCCTCCTCACTGTCCACCATGAGCAAAGTTCCTGACAAACAAAGTGCCAGGTTTGAGAACTGTCACCTCCAAACGACAGGATATCACTGTTCCGGCAACACAGCGTTTCACTGGGCCCCCAACTCAAGATACTGACTCCTACCATTTAGGTTTGTGCCACCCTGTACCACTGTAGAAGGGGATGAAAAATAAAGGAGCAGGGTCCAACAAAAATAGGGGCCAACTACCTGAGATCTGTTGCCACTTGTGGTGCCCAACAGAAAGATTTTTTACTTCCTCGAAGAGGGATAAAATATAGTACTAAAGCTTAAAGGAAAAAAAAGAGTACAAAGGCCCGTCTCCAATCAGCCGACAGTTCAGCACTCTAGTTGAATGCCACACCCATCGCCACCAAGTAGGAATGTTCCTCATTCTGTTTCAGAGCCTCATCCCCAGCCTCTGCTAGGACACGGAGCCCCACACACGCTCCTTCGGCTGGCCTACCGTTGGAAACAGGGATTCACTTTTCAAACCTTAAACAGACACACAACTTAGGCAGAAAGAACATCTGGCTAGCACGCCACTGCTGCTCACCATACTGATTGGCGTCAAAACACGTGAAGGGGGAGCCGAGGACTTCCACGAAGTAGCCCATGCTTCTCAAATGCTGGTACATGTCCCTGAAGTTTGTGTGGATGTGATCACCGTTCCTGAAAAACAGTAAGCCTCGGCGTTAACATGATCAAGCTCTACTGGCAATAAAGGTGTCCCTAGCCACAGGGCCGCCTCTGCGGGAGCACCGCGTCATCACCAGCAGAGAAGGCCTGGGATGTCTGGCTCACTGGAACAGGTGTCAGCCTCCCCAGACCCGTGTTCTCTGGGCTGGACACATGGAAATGGGTGATAAGAGGAAATCATGTGCATGACATGTGCATAAAGGAGATAAAATGATGACAAAAGACAGCTAAGACACGCTTTTTAAAGTGCACTGGAGCATCACTTTAGCAGTGGTATCCGTGTCTGGCAGCCCATCTGCATCTGACAAATGAGCTTAGCGCATGGTCATGGGCGTGCAGGGACACTAGGAAAAGCCACACAGGGCCACACAGGGCGAGTACACTACAACGGAGGCGTACGAGTAACTGGCATCACTGCTCCTGATCGCCTCTCCATTCCTGTCCCTCCCAACTGTGCTCACTTTCCCAGGGGTCACTCCATGTACACTGTTTACCCCAACGTCCCCTGGAAAAACCCAGGGGTCATGCCATCCCCACTTCACAGCCCTCCAGAGCCCAACTCCTCAGCAGCACTTTCCCCACGTGCTCTGCTGCAGGCCCACGAACTCACCCTGGTCTATCGACCTTCCACCTTCTTGTCTACCTGTCTCTGGTCTGAGCCCCTCCAATCTGTCTCCCAAGGACATCTTATTTTAAAAGGCAAATCCGACCCTGAAAGTACACTAGTCAAATCTTTCAATGCCTCCGTTTCCCCCACTTCCAGCGTGGAGTCCAAACTTAGTCCAAACACTAAGGCAGAAATAAGCTCGGCTTACGGGCCAAGAGAAAGTTGGCCCAGCTGCCCTGCAGGTGCAGGCACAGGGAGGGCTGTGTGAGGACCCAGGGAGGGAAGCAGCCCCAGATCCAGAAGCATTGTGCAGGTCACACCAGGAGGTGTGGCCATGTGAGGAAGTCTGAACAGGCAGTCACTGGAGAGTTGGAAGCAAACTGTGATGGAATTTATTTTTGAGATTATCATGGCTGCTACACAGGGAATAGAATTTAGGGGAGCAATAACCACCAACCTGGACGAGGCTGGGAGCAGAGGAGAAGGCCCGACATGGAAGGATTCAGGACACAGTCTGAGGGTCAGACTGATGGGATCTGCTAACTCACTCAGCGGGAGAAGCAAGGGGGAGAGAGCAGTTAAGGAGGACTTCAAGGTTTTTACTACACAATTATTTAAGTTTCAAGAGAAGTCAGGCTGCCCTAAGAGCATAACAAGGGCCTGTAAAGTCTAGGGGCCACAGGAGTCCAAGCTTAATGAGAAGCTGAGCGATGTCTCCTTCCCAACAGTCATGGGAACAGAGGCGCCTTGTCCCCCACGGCAGGACCGAGGAGGAGAAGAGCACCCAAGTGTGGTGCTTACCAGTCCAAAGGGTCATTCTTCATCCTTAAGTTATCTCTGGGGAAGTAGCCAGGCGGATAGCGGAGATTGTGGTACTGATCCCAGAGAACTCTCTTGTTCCGTGGGGGAGTAGGAATTATCTTCACCTTAATCGGGAGCTTCACCGTTGAAGTCTGTTCTGCACCATTTTTTGACTAAAAAACATTGAAACTTGAAATGCCTTCTCTGCCCAGAAAAAAATTTCAGGTTTTAAAGAATCATTTCTATTTATCAATTTAACCCAAATAATCTGAACACAATAATTTCCAATTACAAACACATGATACAACATTCATGTATCACAATTCACTGCTTTCCAACACTTAAGAGTTTAAGACTTAAAACTTAAGACACTTTCTGAAAACTATTAGATTAACCCTACATTTCCTTTTAGAGAATATATACTTCTGGTGCACCCATTTTGAGCTTGAAATCTAGAATAAAACAGCGTTCTCCGTTGCTGTGCAACAACAGAATAGCAAGCACTATCAGTTATGTGTTGAGATGATTTTTTTAAACTCCAGTTGCTCTGGAGGCCCTGGAACCATCAAATATGGCCACCAAGGCTAATCTCGTCCGTCAATTGTACTTTGAGAGTCTAGGCATTAAGCCTGCCCACCCCCTTCCTGGCAGGTGACGGTAAAATGCTGAGACAAACAAGCCACTTCCCTGGCACGTCCTTACTTCCGTCTCTGCTGGGGAAGCCACGGTGATCATGACATGGCCCTGAGCGATGCCTTCCCAGGAAGCCGCTTTCTTGGTCACAGAAATGGAGATGGCCAGGTAGCCTGACCACGGCCATAACACTGAGGAGTAAGAGAAAGCGACTTCGATGTTGTCTCCATTCTGTGGCAAATAGGGCTGCCAGTCAGGCTGCAGGGAAAGAAACGAAGCAAAGGCTGAAGTGAAATGCTAAGAGAGAAAACATTTGGAAAATTAGATACACTTCGATTCCTAAATTATCTAAATCAGCTTTTGAGAAATATTACATTCAATAGGGTAAAATGAAATTTATATACAGATATTAAGTAACCTATAACCAAAGTAACCTATAGACTGCCTGGAACACACCCACTAGAAAAGTCTAGCAACCACTATTTCTGACGGCCTTCAAATTTTATGAAGACTTCTTTTCCCATTATAAAAAAAAGAAGGGACATGTGTCAAAAGTTCCTTGATGAAGAACTTTTATCTGTATAGAAATTACATAAATGAAAACTGTTAGATTGACATTAGATCCAAATTAGTTGTACACTTAAAGAATCATATTAATTGAAAGCAATAAAATGACATGAACGCCAGCTGTCCCCAATCAAACTCTGAAGCTAGAGACAGGCAGCTGTAGGATGACGACCCTCTCCGTCCTCCCAGGTTTGAGGAAAGCAGAAAGGAAAGCTCAAGTGGAGACCATATGGAAGAAACATGAATGAGCTCTTAAAATTACTCAGTTTTCACACAAACCTAAATTACTTATTTCCCTCACAAGCCACACAGCAAGAACATATTCCCCAAGTGAGTCGGCATCAAGAAAAACATTCTGGAAAAGAAAAATATTTGTAGGATACAGCATCACAAATAATGAGGAAGGAAAGGGATTTTTAATGAATACTCTTGGGACCACTGGTCAGCAAGTGAGAAAAAAGTTAAACTTTCATCCATCCCTTATACCACATATCAAATTAACACAGATGAAAAATTAAATATTTAACAATCATATAAATGAAAATGAGTAGAAAAATAAAATTGAGATTTTATTTTATCTCTGGAGGGATAAGTTTCTAATCTTTGAAACAATGGAAGAAATCACAAAAGATAAAAATTCAACTACATGAAATGTAAAACTTTTACAGAAGAAAAAAACCACTACAATAAGTAATATTAAAGGGAAAGGAGAAGAATAATCTGGAGGAACATTTTGCATAAAACACAGCAACGGTTAATTTCTCTCTGACATGAAGATCTTGTTAGGATTGACAGAGAAAAATCCCAATTCCAGTAGAAAATGGGCCAAGGAAACGAAAAGGTAATTCACACAAGAGGAAATACAATTATTAATAGTAAACACATCCAAAGATATCCACCTGACAAATAATTGAAGTGCGCATCAAACAAGATGCCCATTTTATCCCCTAAATATAAAGTTGAAAATATACCACCTGGAAAAGCCAAATGACTACCAACAGATGAATGGATAAACAAAATGTGGTCTAGTCCATAGAGTGAAGTATAACTCAGCTACAAAAAGATGTGAAATACGGATCACGCTACAACACGGATGAATCCTGAGAACGCTATGCTGAGACAGACACCGAAGAACAAATGCTGTATAATTCCACTCACATGAAATGTCCAGAACAGGAAAACCCACGGAGAGAAAAAGCATACTGGCGGTTGCCAGGGACGGGAGAAGGAGGGAACAGGGAGTGAGTGATAATGGGTATAAGATTTCTTTGTGGGGCGATGGGAATCTTCTGGGATGAGATGTTGGCATAATCTGGGGAATATATTAAAAACCACTGAAGTGCAAGGTGAATTTTATGGCATATGAATTATATCTCAATTTTTAAAAAGAGCAAAAAAGATGTTATCAGCCAGTGCAGGCCTGATGGAGACACTTTCCCCCTGAATACCACTGGCATGTAGTCTAAGCTGATGCGACAGAATTCTCTCTCTGAGACAGAATTTGTCAGTATGTGCCACGAGCCATAATAATGTCCACACCCTCTGATTCAGGCAGTGAATCCAGGGAGTCTACATTAAGGAAATAATTCAGAAGAAAACAGTATATGCAAAGTTATTCAGTGAAATGTTTATAGTTGAAAACCACCTAACTGATCAAACGGGGGAAAGTAAATAAATTATAATTTATCAATTCTATATAATATTAAATAACCATTAAAATGTACACTGGTACTGTGTACATAGTTACATTTTCATATGTTTATAATATAGTGAGAACTTAGAAAAAGATTGTAAAGTTTTATCTACTGCACAAAGACAACAAGAATATGTATTTCAGATAAAGGCTGGAAAAGAATATTTAAAAAATAGAGGATATATTAGTGTGCTGGGGCTAGAAGTGAGTTTTCCCTACCCTTTATTGTTGGGATAATGTCAATGCAGTATTTTAAAAATTTATAAAAACAAAATTCAAAAGAAAGACTATACTTTCCAAACACAAAGGCTACTAGTCTAAGCTCATTAAGGAATAAAATAATTACAACTGGGCCTTTAACTATAGGTGGGAAATTGTATAGATGAAGAGTCTAATGTGATTCAGGGGCCAAGCTAAAGATGCCAAAGCAAAAAAGTAAAACCGATTTCATTAAAGTAAGCCCTGACTTATTCTGTAAGGGACTTAGTAAGTATAACAAATCACTACTTCTGATAGCCCTGGGACCCTAGACAGGTCAAAGGGAAATTTTCCTCTTTCAACTTCAGGAGAAATAACTAAGGCATAAAGGTCAGGGCCACGTCTAAGTTCAGCACCAAGTCAGACACGAAGACAGAGAGAAGTTTCACCTTATCTACAATCCTTCCCGTGACTCCCATGCCGTTGAGGATGGTGACATTAACAATTGTTGGCATTCCTCCATAGTAGATGGGTTGGGAGCAGTAGGGCCACATGTAGGGACATTCAGTCAGATCTATGTAGCTGGGGCTCAAACTGAAATAAAGAATACAGCGTTAGAGTAGACCACATTAGAAAACTATGATGAAGCAATACAACCGTGCAGGAAAGAGGTAACATAGCAGACCTGAGCTTTGCAAGGGCCTGCTTGCAGGGGTGCCCTTGGCTGGTGTCTGGGAATGTGGCTTTGGAATGCTCCTGTGCTGATAAGGTCGCTGCGCCAGCGCACTAGACTGTATGAACAGCATGATGTGTGGGGAACACCTCTTTCCTTCCCCAAGTCTGGAGCTTTGGTAGTTATGGCTGGCAGAGAATGAGTACATGACCAGCCCTAATGGAAACCTTGGACTGGAGTCTCAAGGGGGCTTCCCCGGGCAGAAATACACGGATGTGGCGACGCAGTTCACTGCTGGGAAAGGGGCCAGCTCCGTGAGACCCTGCCTGGCAGGAGAGACGGGGAGAGCTTAGGAAGCCTAAGCCTGGGTTTCACCAGACTCCCTCCACGTGAGGTACCTTTTTCCGTTACAGATCGATTATCCATCCTGGCTGTGCCACTGTAATGAATCTTAACTGTGAGTACAACCACAGGCTGAGTCCCACAAGTCCTTCCAGCAAAGCACCAAGCCTGGGAGTGGTTCTGGGGACACTGACATAGTTTGTGTCACAAGTGCTGTCACAAGTGGCTCCCCCAATTTTGTTTGTTCCACATTTTCCCCGTATCTGAAATGAGTCTGTGTTGGGTTAATACCATTCCTAGCACAGCAGCAGTGCCATCTACGCACAAGCGGAAAGACAGGTAGGAGGCGAGTGCTTTAGGTAGGACATGATCCAAGACGACCTCACTGGGGACATCAGCAGATCTTGCTTATCAAGCTGCACCTGTGTGCAGGGGGCACGTGACTCTGACCACTACTCTATCTTACAGAAAAACCAGAGTATCTTCAGGGATATTGTGACTTCCATGGGCAGTTATAATCAATACATACCACAGTTAGTCATTTAAAATAGATACCACCTAATTTTAAAAATCATGAGTGGGCTGGCCATGTGGCTACTGTCAGTAAAAGTACCTCTTCCACCTGAAACACGTTTGTAAATTTTGCTGGTACTTGTGCTCCGTAAACAGTTTAAATCCACTAATAAGATTCTACGAACAAATCAGTATTAGCAAACAGAATTCAACATCATATTAAGAAAACAATACGCTAAAATCAACTGGGATTTATTTTAGGAATGTGAGATTGATTCAATATTGGGAAATTCATTAATATCATAAACCATAATAATAGGTCTAGTCATACGATTACCTTTATAAATGCTGAAAAGGCTTATAAAATTCAATGCACAGTCCTGATGAAAAACACTCAGGAAAACAGCAATTGATGGATAATCTCCTACTATGATCACACATATCTCTACAGATAGATAGATAGATACATCTTAGTCGTGAAGCCAGCATCTTATTTAATGGGGAAACAAAAGAGGCATTTCCACTCAGATGAGGAACAATGCAAGGACACCCACTAGACCCACTACTATTCAACACTGTGCTAGAGATACTAGTCCACACAACTAATCAGAAGAAATCAATAAAGCCTTAAGAAGTGGTCAGGAAGAGGTAAAACTATTTCTGTTCCATATGATATATGTTAGTATAGCTGGAAAACTAGAATAAATAACCAAAATAACTTAAATAATAATCCAGTTAGGTAGCAGGATATAAAATTAACACACAGAAATAAAATAAACCAGTTAGAGAAAAACCCACCTCCAATGGCTACAGAAAGATTAAACACACTTACCAAGAAATGTGTAAAACCCATAGGAAGATTAACTGTAAAAACCTCCTGGAAGACACAAAAGGCTTGAACCAATGGAAACACATCATCCTCTACTCTTGGAAAAAATAACTCAACATTTTTATAAAAATATCACTTCTAAGTTCATTTAAAATTTGATGCAATCCCAATAAAAATTCTAATAAACTTCTTTCATGGAATTAGGTAAGTTGATATGAAAAGTCATATGAAGAAAACAAACACTCAAGAACAGCCAAGAAAACACTAAAAAAAAATTACAAGGGGAATTAACCCTACCCGACATTAAAACATGCCAGGAAGCCTTTCAGATGGACCAGTGGAATGGAATAGAAAGCCCAGAGATAGACCCAAATACATATGAAAATTTAGTACATGATAAAGACAGCATCTCACCTTACTGCACCAAAGATAGACTTTTTAATAAATGGAGCTGTGTAACAAATGGGTGGCCATTTGGCAAAAGATAAAATTAGATCCGTACCTTATGTCGCAGATGAGAATAAACTCTAAATGGATCGGGGAATCTCAAGTAAATAGAAGAAAGTAAACGATTATTATAAGAAAACATGGGTAAATTTCTCTTTTATCTCACTGAGTGCAAAGACAGACTTTCTAGGACTCAAAATCCAGAGGCATAACGACAGCAAAAAAACTAACAAACGACCAAAAAAAAAAACAAAAAAAAACAACAAAAAATACGTGGCAAAAAATACCTTCCACAAAGTCAAAAGACAACTGACAAACTGGGGAAAAGAGTTGCAACATATACCACTGACAAAGGTTACTAACCCTAATATATAAAAGAACTCTTAAAAACTGAGAGACCAAAAACCCCATAGAAAAAGAGGAAAAAGAAATGAACAATTCGTGAGAAAGAAAAATGAAAAACGGCCCGTAAATGTAGACATTAAGTGTTCAAACTTACTCATAACTAGAGAAATGCAAATTAAAACAATACTAAAATACCATATCTCACCTGTCAGACTGGCAAAAAAGTAACAAGTATAATAGAACGTTCTGTTGGCGAGGCTTTGGGGAAACAGGCATTCTCTCACACTGCTGGGGGAATGCAAACTGGCATAACCCTTCTGGAGGGGAACACAGCAACACCTAACAAGGCTACCTGATGCACTTAACTTTGACCCAGCAATGCCACTTCTAGGAATTTACTCTGAAGAAATACCTCTAACAAAACTAAGATACATAAGCACAAGGTTACTCACTGAAACAATTTATAATTACAAAATATTGGAAACATCTTAAGCACCCATATGTAAATAAATAATTGTGCATTCACATGATACAGCTGTAAAAAAGGAAGAAGAAAATCTATGCACTGACATTCAGTGATTTCCAGGATATTGTTAAGTGAAAAAAGCAAAGTGCGGATGAATATCCACAGCCATGCTATCCTTCTGTGGATCTGCTCACGTGCAAAAAGGAATTGAAAAAGGATAAACCAAAACCTAATGTGACTGTTACCACAGGGCTGTGTGCAGGCAGGGTGGGAAGAATGGGGGAATGGGAACAGTTATGCCTTCATGTGCAGTTCTGATCATTAGAGCCACATTGGTAATGTTCCAACACCCAATGACTAGTTGACATCAACCAGGATTTGAGGTAGGGGAGCGGGGAATCCAAAAAGGAATACAAATACTAGCAAACGAGCCTAACCATATTAAAAATGAACAGCAAGGAAAGAACCTAAGTAACTCTAGAAAACAGTGTGACTATATTCTGTAAGGCTAAAGATAAAAAAGCACTATCACAAATACTGTATTTAGTAAATGTGTTAGTCACGAGGGTATGGGTTAGCCATTCTAAAGCTACTCGATATGTATACAGTAGGACACAGCAAGTAAGTAAATAAATATATCGTGGATAATGAGAGCCTGGCTTCCACTGTTGGAGAAAGGAGTTAGAAACAGAGAGAAGGCTAGAACAAACACTGTGATGTTGGGCGGACTCAGAAGATGGTATGAACTCATGCTTCTAATATATATATAAATGAGCAGATACAGAAATAGGTACACGTGTGTATATACATACATTTCCTAGGTCTGTCTGTTAAAGAGCCTAGAAACAACTATGAGCACAGCAGCTCTGAGCACACCTAGTGCCCAGGTCTGGGTTTCTGAATACCATTCTGCAATTAAAGGAACAGGGCTGCCTGGAGAAAGAACTGATACCAAGGCTGCAGCACGGAAATACATCACAGGACATCCTGCGCTGCCAAAAAGAAAGGAAGTGCTCAGAAAATGATAAAGACATGCTGAACAGACACAGAAGCTGACTAGCAGGAGCTCCTAATAGCCACACCTGGGACAATTTGAGCAAAAAACTAAATAATGATATTAATGGATTATAATCCACAGAGTAAAAAAATCCATGTGTCCATACTGACATAAATAATTGAATACATAAATAAACAAGAGAGAAAGGACAGCTCTTCCCTCCAGCAGAATTCCAATTAACAAATGCAGAAGGAATAAGGGAAACAGAAAATCATCATGCGTCAGACTTCTCAGTAGTAAGTGCACAGGCAAGAACTATCAGTAGATGCCAAAGTCAGTGAGTGGAAGTATGTTAAGAAACACAATCATCTCAAAGCATATCCCCACAAGATACTTAGTAGTCACAAAGGGAAAACAGGAGCTGTACAGTGGACACAACACACCTGGCAAATGCCACCACTGAGATCTCCTGCTGCAGGAGCACAGCTGGCTGGCAGCCCTCGAGATCCTGCACCGGGTCTGTGCCAAAGCCACACCCCCCCCCAGGCTGCTCCAAGCTGATGACTGAGCACAGAGCGGGTACTCGGGCAGGCCCATTCCCAGGCAATGCAGGACTCCAACAGATGACTTTGGCTCGAGGATTTTCCATCAGCTAAAACCTCTTTAGGCCTGTGCTAAGCCTGAGGCGTTCTCCATCCTCCTTCCCTGCCTCTCTCCACAGGTGTCAGATCAGCACCATGTTCCCAAGACTCCGTGCCTACTCCCACTCCCTTCCCTCTATCTTCCTAGGCCTCCCTCCCCACAATAAGCTTTTGAACTTCTAATCCCATCTTGGCGTCTGCTTCTCGGAGGACCCAGACTGACAGACCACATCAATCAAACAACGAAAATTAACACCAGCAGTAATAAACCAAAGAAAAACTGAGGAACTGTCTGTGATTGGAGAAGACTAAAAAGACATGACAACTAAGTGTAATGCGGGATCTTAGACTGGATCCCAAAGGACCCGAGTGGGACAATGGGCGGAATCTGAACTAAGTATGGAGATCGCTCAGCAGTGCTGTATCCATGTTAATTTCCAGGCTTGGAGGCTCATGCTGTGGTTATGTAAGATGTCAACATTAGGGAAAGCTGGGTGAAGGATTAATGGGTTCTCATGTACTATTTATGAAACTTTGTTATAAATATAAAATCATTTCAAAATAAAGGGTGAAAAAAAGTCTTATTAAAAAGATACAACCTCGGCCGGGCGCGGTGGCTCACGCCTGTAATCCTAGCTCTCTGGGAGGCCGAGGCGGGCGGATTGTTTCAAGGTCGGGAGTTCTAGACCAGCCTGAGCAAGAGCGAGACCCCTGTCTCTACCAAAAAAAAATGGAAAGAAATTATCTAGACAACTAAAAATATATAGAAAAAATTAGCCGGGCATGGTGGCGCATGCCTGTAGTCCCAGCTACTCGGGAGGCTGAGGCAGGAGGATCGCTTGAGCCCAGGAGTTTGAGGTTGCTGTGAGCTAGGATGACGCCATGGCACTCTAGCCCAGGCAACACAGTGAGACTCTGTCTCAAAAAAAAAATAAAAAATACAACCTCAAACTAATCATAAGAAAACATCCAATAAACCCACAGAGAGAGACGGTCTACAAAATAAGTGACTAGCATTTTCAAAAGGATGCATAGTCATGAATGAAAGAGAAGACAGATGAAGTGTCAAAGGTCAGAGCAGATGGAGACGGACAGCTAACTGCAACGTGGGGACTAGACCCACAAGGCACAGGAGCTCGAGGAGGACTGGCAATATGTACACAGTCTGCAGATTAATTACAGTGTTCATGTGTTAGTTGTAATGGTTGTACTATGATCATCTAAGATGGTGGCACTAGAGGAAGCTTGGGCCAAGGGTATATGAGAACTCCTTTACATCTCTGATAAATTTCTGTAAACCCAAGATTATTTCAAAAGCTTAAAAAAGTTTAAAAAAATCCAAACGCTTATCATTATTTTTAACCATTTACACTGAAGATAATAGAACATCAGTAAGTCAAAAGTAGTCACAAGTCTTGCCAGCCAGCACCCTAGTAGAAGCCGCAGCATGTTTTAAACTCTCACTGAATGCCCCAAGTACTGTGATCAGTGATCATCCGTTTTGAGGCTTGTATTTTGTGCAGAATGAAGCCCCCCCAAGAGCCCAGTAAAGAAGAGAAAGGCCTATGTAGAGGTACAGCATACTGACCTTGCCTGTGGTTTGTAGCTGTTGAGGATCTGATAGGCTCTGAGCAGATCAAGCTTGCCATGGCCTTGCTCAAACATGTTGACACCAGGAAGCCTCCGGGCTGACGCGATCAGGGCCTGCTTCATACTGGCAGGATTCACCAGCTCACGTTTCTGGACTGTGCTGGGGGGAAATGAAGCATTTGCTCATTTTCTTTCAGCAAAAGAATGGAAACCAGATTATCTATCCCTAACTTACCAACATGCAAACACGTGGCCTTCAGTCTTGTTTTGTATCTAATGGGAGCTTCTTTGGTTGAGCCCATGAAAGATGAGAATGAGCATCTACTCATTTCTGTACTTGCCTGAGGACCAACTACTTAGCAACCAACTTCTATACAGCTTTTTTGAAGTCACTTATAAACTAGTGCTTGTTTATACTAAATTTACCAGTTACACACATTTTTCAGATAATTCAACTAAACTTAACCACACAGGCAGCAGAAGGCAAGAATATGTAAGAGGTACTGGCTCCTCAGGGGAGGGGAAGCCCACCGGCCAGAAGGAGAAGACACCCCAGGACACCACCTGGCTGGGAGAAGAAAAGGAGCACAGATGAATCCTGGGGAGTGACCACGCCGCACGACGGGCAGGAGGCACAGGGTCTGCGTGGAGACCACCGCCTCCAAAGCTAACCATTGCCTTTTTGTTTCCAGATTGGAGGCATCGCCCTGGTGGATAACACCTTTTAGAATATTGCAGACCTAAGGGAGTTTCAGCATCAGAATGTTAACTGAGCAAATTTTAACATACAGCTCTACCTAACTGGGTACTTAGGTTAACACTAGCATTAAAACGTTCATTTTTGTATATCTATGTATTACGAATGCAAGTAAATTTTAATCCCTAAATTGAGGGAGAAAAAATCAGTAAGCAAAAAAGGAAAACTCACTCTCCTAAGTTCCTAAATATTTTCATATGATGGTGGTTGGTCTCGGAGTCTAGGCAGGTTTTCTAAATGGGAAATCTGATATAAGGAGAAGTAAGAGGAGATAAAGTAGGATTAATTCTTAATGACAGAATGAAAGAATTGCTAAAAGCTATAGGTCAACAATTTTCCCCTTCTTCCTGCCTATAAAGCAAAATCAAAGGTTAGGTTCCATTTCCTTTCAGAGTACTGTAAAGCTAGAAGCTCGGGAAGACCTCCTTCGTCGCTCAGCATCCATTATGAGCCACTGTCAAGCCACAGAAGTATTCCTGAATGATCACAATTGCATTTTTATCTGCTGCAGGAAGATGAGGAGAGTGAAAAGTTTCCTTGCTGCTGAAAATATCTGTACTTAGAGATGCCACTGGGAATGGAAAACACAACCTCCTCATCTCCCCACTTATACAGTAAAGAGATGCAACAGGCTCAAGGGGGAAGCTGGAACCCCCATTTCCTGCTAACAACCATGGCAAGTGGGAGAAATGAACCAGTATTTTCTGTTTCCAGAATCAACAAGATTGGAAACAGGAGCCATAGCTGAACTGTCTCCACTTGGCAACTACAAAAGCTCAAATGAAACAGGTAACCCATGATCGACCTTCCCTTTCTTCTGTTCTTCACTTTACGTAACATAAGGGAGAGGGAAACAACTGAAAGAGAAAGACGATGTTTCTAGCAAGCATATGGTTACTTTCCAAAGATTACGCTGGCCAATGTCAACAGTTTTAAGAATCTGGCTCTGATGTAAGAAAAGGATAGGGAAAGCAGGAAAGAGGTAGGTATCTACTACCTTTATCAAGGATGATTAACAAAATAATCTCAGGCTTTAGAAGCTAAAATCAACATTCAATTTACTTTTGAACACAATTTTAAACAAAAAATTTGAATATCAGTTACGTATTTTAATCTAATTTTTAAATTAGAACATATTTAATAATAACTTTCAAATATGCAGAGATTTAAGTGTTATCACAACGTAAGAGCTCTACTAAAACCTCATTTAGATAGAAAAATTAAGATTTATTGTGGGGGGAAAAAATAGTCACAAAATAAATGCTAGCCCCAAAGACATATTTTAATGACTCAGAATAAGGAAACACGGCCCATCCGACTAACAGAGCATGTGAGCTTCAATTTCAGTCTCCCAACTTTGAGAACTTGCTTCCAGTTTCACTA